TGAGATACCTACAAGGACACTTCTTGAGCTTTATTATATGGGTAATTATATATTGGCTATTTTTTTTTTTAATAATGACAATCCTATCAGAATTTTAATCTAAGAGTATCTCCAACTGTTCTGTATATTTTTTTGTGTAAATCTGATGTGTCATAATTGATTTACACAAAAATTTTGAATTATTTAATTTGAACTCCAACGTTTATACCATTTGTGTAAAAATATATCTCCTAATAATAACTAACCAGGTGTCATGGCAGGACCCCATATAACTTTTACAAACCTACCTAATATATGGTTGATTCTTTAAGGGTTCTTTTGGTTAGATAGAACTAGCAAGAAAGGAAAAGAATCTGAAAATATTTAAACTTTTTGCGCGTTTGTTTAGGATGAAAGGGAAAGTTTTCAGGAAACTGGAATTCCCGAAAGTAGCTAATTTTCTTTAAAATGATTCATGTATAAAACACGCGAAAATTTTTGTTTCTCGGGAAAGTTGTGAAGTTATATTTTAAATTCCTATTATACCCATAATTATCAGTTGGTTTCCTTTTATCTTTTTCTCCTTTTTTGATAGACATATTTTATTTTTCAAAAGTAAATGAACTCATGAAAGTGAGGAGATCTTATTTTTAGCATTTTTTTAATCTATTTTTATCGCTTTATTCTTTTTCCTCTTTTTTTTCAATTTTTTTTTTTCCTTCCAAATAGATATATACATATAATATATTATGGTGGGTATTTTTTAAGTGCATTATATTAATTTACAATATTTATATATACATATCAACTAGATTTTAGAATTTGGATACTAAAGTTATTATAAGTTTTAAGAAATATATACGTTTATTAAAAATAAAAATACAAATTATTCTACAGTTATATAATTTTAGTTGAAGTCAAAAAGAAAACCCTCATAAACATGGTTGGTATATGTAAAATTCTATTAGTTTTGGTTATTCTAATATAAACAAACATCTAGTGGAGCAATCATAATCTTATTTGATTTCATCAAAGTCCTTACAATAAGTATATAAATTATGTCTAAATCACACACACACACATATATATATTAAAATATTTTTGACTAAAGTAATTTAGGTGACTTGGTGTCTTATATAAGTTCAGAATATTATTATCAACAACAAAGCTTGATGCATGAATTAATTTTGCTCAAATTAATTTATATTTTTAGTATTTAAAATTATAAGGGCAATTTTGACAAGTACAATCATTTCCTTTTCTCTTTTATTCTATCCAAACTAACAACATAATATTTTCTCACAACTTTCTTGAAAAATTTTCATACTAACCAAATGCACCATGGAAACTTTTTTTTTTTTTTCCTTCACTTCACTTTCTTTCATTTTTACTTTCTACCATCTATTTCCGTCTAACCAAACGAACCCTAATGGAATGAGAAAGGAAATATATTGATCTGACAGTTTTAAACAACCCTTTTACACATTGGTGATGTTGCAATGTATCTTAAAAGACTGCTGGAGATGGAAAAAATTTACATGTGGCAGTTTATATTTTATACAAAAGGAAATTTTAACAGATGGCCTTAAATGATACAAAAAGGTGAAATTGTCCTTTAATATTAAAATCGATTTTATTATTAAATATCAGACATGTTTAAATGTAATTACCCTTGAATTAATATGAGTCACAAAATGGCGTCAATTTATTATGCTGAAATTCATTAATTTCTCCAAGGTATTGTAATATTCCGATTGCCGTTAAATTTTTACTAAAAGTTCATCGGTATGTCTAGTTACTCTTTGAAAATTTTCGTGCCAAACATATATTTTTATAAAAAATCGACAACAGCTGCTATCTAAAATTTTTCACTTTTTGAAATAAGGTTTTTAATTTATTTATTTGACAGCCTTCTGGATATTGGATTATTACCAAAATTTTCAATTTTATACTTCCGTGAGTCTACTTTTCAAAACATTTTTGTTTTCTTCTTTTCAATTCCAAATGAATTTTTTATTCATTGCTGTGCAAATTTATCTTCTAACTTAGCACTTTAACTTTTTTACATCAACGATTAATGAGAGGTAGATTGGTCGAATTCATTAAGTTGTAAAGTTAAAAGGTTCACTAAACTATCAAAAGGCAAGGTGGTCAATTTCTCATGTGTCATATGTGGTAGGTGGTTACAGGGTGTCTGTGTCAATCTTTTCAAATTTTAGGAAGTGTTATTGTCCAAAAAAAAAACAGCCACCTTGTGTGTGATTATTAATATGACCAACTTCAAAAAGTGTTATTGTACTTTACCTATCTATATATATAATAATAATAATAATAATAATAATAATAGAAAAAAAAGAGACGTGAAATTTATTGTCAATGAATTTAATTACTGCATGCTGATCTCCTGGGGTACCGAAAATAAGGTAAAAAATCTAGTAAGAATTGTTATTAACATTTTCTTTTTCCTTATTTTTTCAATTTGGCTATATCGTTAGACAATAATTTCTTGTAAATGACACAGAAGAGTATCTGATTCTTTCATGGCAACCTTTATAATTCCTTCATCCGCTGGTCAGCCTTTATGAAAGGGATATATATATATATATATATATATATATATATATATATATATATATATATATATTTGCAAATTTATGAAAGGAATTAATTAGTGCATGTGCAGAAAATTCAAGATACATAACCTACAGAAAGGTATATTAATTGGCATTAAATTAAGATAGACTTGTCAATTTTAGCTTTAATAAAATTTGTTGACTATGTGTCTAGTTTCGGAGATCAGCTTGTCGCCTTCAATCATAGATATGTTAATTTGCACATGCCCAATTCATTTTTTTTCTAGACCAAATTCTAAAGTCATCAATTATTTTTAAATGGACATCTTACACCATAGCTAGTCTAATTAAGGGATGAATGCTCCCAAGGATATAGTGGGGTTGATAAGAATTTGAAAGGTAAAATTTTGAAATCTTACTTTTGAATAGCATTTTTAATTTAAATGGTTTGTGTAGTATTGGACTAGAATAAGAAGAGAGGAAAAAAAAAAAAAATTAATAATAATAATAATAATAAAAAGGGATGAATATATGAAGATCAATCAGGCATCATATTTAACAAAAATAAATAATAAATAAATAAAAACAGCATTCAGAATCTGAATAGACTAATAATTAAATATTATATTGTCTATGTTTAGTCCCATGTGTGGAATGATTGGCCCTAAAACAGATTGAGATTTTTAAATTCATATATAGATGCAGCAAAAAAAGAAAAAAATTCATATATAGATGGGACATATTGCAACAAGCTTGGAACATCTAATTCGATGGAGTATGGTTAATAATTTTGGTAGGTAGATATATATATATGAGCCTGGAGACTGACAAATTAATGATTGTTGTAGGTCTGTACCAACAACAGAAAAACAACTGGCACCAATACTTGAGAGGGAGCAAACAAACCCATACACCATTGTCATCAATACATCAGTTTTCTTATTTATTCCCCCATCAATTTTGATGGAAAAATATAGTGTATTCCCGTTATTCAATATTTCGGTCCAATCAAAATATTTCATTTTTGTTGATAATAAAAATATAAAAATGTTTTGATTGGATGAGATATTCAATAATAATTATCTTTCGAGTATTCAGCAACTTCGTAACTTTTGCTCATGACTATAAATCAATTGGGATCCAATGTAAACTTCAAACTCAATTGAAACAATTGAGGCAGAAATCTTAACTTTTGGGATCACAAAATAGCTAGTCATTTTGTTGCTTTTAAGGATCACAAATAAAAGATGACATTGTTGCATGGCTTTAATTAGACTATGCTTCACTTAGACCAACTCCCAAGCTTTCTAGGTTGCTACATTTGACTGGACACACGTATTGATTAAGTTTCAATACGGTTCATAAAAAGTTCAAATTCAATGCGATAACCGATAAGAACTCGGTCAGTATTAATATTTTATTTGTGCTGAAAAAAAAGTATTAATTTATTTTGTAAAAGAGACAAGTTGTAACAGTACTTATTAAATTTGAGAACACTATTATAAACTAGTTAGTTGATTGTGGAATTTCTAACACTCATTTATTAAACAATAAATTGCATAATTTTAAGTGTAAAAAGTCAGTATTACCTTTATATTACAATTACAAATATTTATTAATTTAAAAAATCCACGTGACTTATGTGTAATTTTTTCAAACTTTAAGAAGGTAAATGTAATTTATTCTATTATTTTTTGATACAACGGAAGGGATTATTGTCATTTTATAAAATTTGGTCAAAGAAAGAAAATGACAGGGAATCGTTGAATATACACTTCAAAAGAGGTCAAAGTAATAAATGATAAATAGTCTACTCGTGTGGTATTTGTCATCTACCCGTTTGTGACATCAACCTGCCGAAATCCTCTGCTATAATATTTGGTGCTATAGTATTTTTCAACACCATTATATCTATTGGATTTAATGGGTTGAAAATCACTTTGTTGAAAACAAAAGTAATGTTGAAAAGCAGTAGGAGCTTACATTTGTGACAAGAACCATCTTCATGGTAGTGAGAAGGTCAAGTCTATCAAGCCTGGACCAAGTCCAATACCTTGAAAGGGCTAGGCATTTGGGATCCAATCAAGTTGAAACTCGAAGGCTCAAAAGCTCTGTAAATAGCTAAGGTGATGGTCCAATAAAAAGCCCAACAATTGCTTGGACAATCTCTCGGCCCAATAACAATTAATTAATAGAAAATCAATTAATTATTGAATTCGATCCGAATCAAGTTGATCTCCAGGAAGGAAAAAAACAAAAAAAGTTGAGATTTATTATTTTTTAATTTCCTGAAAAAAAAGTATCCATACAAATCCCAAGTGACGTGGCAAGGTATACGCAACCGTGACAACTAGCAAAATATACGGCCAGGATTACACGATCAGTTGTCTGGTGAACAAATCGTAAAACGACGCCGAAAGTGTGAGACTGCTGCAGAACACTCCAAAGTCAGCGTATTTTCGTACTTCGCAGAGAACCCACGCAAGCGCAAGCCCATATGACTCGCCACTGTCGCACACATTAGATATATATCCGTCTGTATATGTCTATTTATTTAATCTATCACTATATACTCGATTTTCCGAAATTCGCAACTAAACCACCAACTCGTTCCAGGTTTCTCTCACTTTCTTGCACTTGTAAAACTTCCTTGCTCTACAATCTTGTTTTTTAGTGATTATTTTTGTAAAATCTAATTTGAATTTGCAGATCTGTGAAGGTGAATGGTGTGTGATTCTTAGGGTTTTTGAATTTGGTCGGAAATTGGAGTGAATTTGTGGTGTTACAGGTCTCCGTATTCTAGGGTTTTGGAAGTGAAAGTAAATGCAGACTTGGGTTTGTGAAGATAATGAGCTCTATGGGTAGAGGGAAACGGACTTTGGAGGGTGAAGATGAACAGCCGGAGCGGAAACGGCCGGCTTTAGCCAGGTAAATTTGTGTTTCTTTTGTGAATTGTGTTGATTGGGTGTTTGTTTGTTTGTTCTTTGAATTTGTTGATTTTTGGCTGAAACGGGCAATATACTACTAATATTGATTAATTGTGTTTCTTCTGCTAAAATTAATTGTGTTTGTTATGCTAACACTATGTTTACTTTTGTGGTATTGAAGCCTTGGATATGGAGATTAGAAGTCCCATTTCTTGTATCAGGAGTTTGTACGTGTTAGATGGCTTTGACTTTATAACTAACTTAACGCTCATGAGTCAACCAAACCATTCCCCAAGTTTTATTCGTTTTTAGTTGTCTACAACCAAACATGTTATGATAGTACTGTCCCAAAACTCTTGTTCACCTTTCTATTTTGTGAAGTCCCAAAATACATGTCCCTTTCAAAAAATGGATGCACTATTTTTTATAACATTCTCAAACTATTCTTTTGACTTGAAGTATTAAAAACCTGCTATGATAAAAACTTGGATCCCCAAACAGCCCAAGAATTTTGGGACTGAGGGATTAGTATTTAGTAATGCACTCAAACCTTCCACTCTTGGTGCTGCTCACCGAAGGGGCCATTTGAGAACCAGTACCAAAATTTGACGAAGTGAAGATGGCGCCGTTCTTTAGAACTATTTATTAGCAACACATATGGCCTGAGTGTTGAGGTTTTCATTAATGCCCAAGATCAGATATTTTGCTGTGTCATTTTTGATAAAATCAGTTACTCTTAAGTGATGTATTTGATGATGTTTATACCTTTATGTACACATGTAAACTAGATACGAATTCTGAACACACTTGTGTAAACAAATGCCTAAGCTCTTTAAAGACGTTGTCAACCCCATTACCCCAAGCATATTGAAATTGATTCTCCGGTGCTCCTGTCCCCTGCTTTGCTCTACCCTTGCTATTCAGATCTGCCCTTAACAGTCCCTCTTGGATTGATTTTCTGTTGTCCTACTCTATGGATGTAAATGTTACCTCCAGTATGCTCAATCTTTTGATGGGCTTACTTTTACATCCGAATGTGTTTCCTTTTAAATGTTGTAATTCTGCGAAAAATTGTCTCGCTTGTGGGCGTGTGTGAAGGTCCAGTACACTCTATTCAACCTAATTTTCGCACATTTAGTAAAGGATTTATGTTTAATATTTCTCAACATCTAATGCCGCTAGCATTGTATTAGAATTATTACTATTTTTGTGGCTAAAACTTTACTCGAGTATTAAATTTTTACTCATGTACTCAGCTTTCACTCTTGTCAATCTCCATTTGCAAGATTATTATTGATGATTGCAGTGTTGTTAAAGGCGTGCCTAGGCGTAAGGCTCAGGTTTAGCGTCTATTGTCATCCCAGGCTCACTGATGTTTACTAGGCGCGCCCCTCAATTGCGCCTCGTCCTGTTTATGAGGCGCGCCTAGGCGCGCCTCACTCATATTTGTTTAAAAAAATATGATTATTCTATTTCTTAAGCCAAAAAGGGTACTTTTGGCAACTTCATAAACAAAAAAGAAAGCTCAATCATACGATATAAAGAATTTTTGTTCAAAAGAATAAAAAAATAAGAAAGCCCAAGAGTCAAAGTGTTAACCGAACAACGATAGAATGAGTTTGTGAGACGAAGACGAAGCCCTAGTTGCAAAGATGAACGACGAAGCCACGTCAGTTCTTTCTTTTCTTTTCTTTTCTTTTTTCTCTCTTCTCCTTGAGATCTCTTCTCTCTTCTTATCTTTGTTTACATCTTTCTCTTCGTCTAGTTCTCTCATCTCTCTCTTTTTTTTTTTTTTGTTTGTTAACATATTTATTTCTTTTTGTGCTTTGTTTTGCCATTCAGAAAACACATTTTGCTTTGCCTTTTAAGAAAACAAATTTGTACTCTGTTTTATGGTTGTTGGATGTTTGTATAGTTGATGGATTTACTTTTTTATATTTGATATTAATTTTTAGAATATTGGTATGACTTATGAGATATGAATGTTATTATGGTAGTTTAAATTTTCAATTGTGCGCCTCACTGTGCGCCTCGCACCTAGGCTCCAAAGGACCTCTAGCGCCTTGGTGCGCCTTGGGCCTTTAATAACTATGAATGATTGGAAACTGCAATTTTGGACTTTTTCAGGACTAAAATATGTCAAAACCATATATATATATACACACACACAGACACACACATATATATTTGTTTACTACATCATGCTATTTTTGTTGCTTTGGAAATTCTTTCAAACTGTTTTTGTTTATATTTGTTTCACTTTTGTGGGTTCATTTAATTATAACTGTATTATAGCTGAATTTACTTCTGCTAGGGTAATTTACTGATGCAAAGATACTAATTTAATATGCTTGTTTGGTTTTATATCTTAAGCAGTATTAATGATTTTAAAATAACTTGCTGGTGACCAAAGAACGTTCTTGCGTTTGTTAACAGAAAATGAGTATGGTTGTTTGGACCTACATTACATTAGGTCATGCTGTGAAGTGTTCTCTATTTATGCAAATCTTTTTCTTGTTTGAAGTACCATTTATAATTTAGCTTTAGGTATAGTTTATTAATTATTTCTATACATTATTTTGTATGTTTGTTTGATTATAGTTGACTCTCAGAGAACCAACTCTTTTCCCCCTAAGAAAATAGATGTTCCATGCAGTGTAATTGTTGAAGCCCTGAAGGTGGACAGTTTGCAGAAGCTTTGCTCTTCCTTGGAACCTATTCTTCGCAGAGTTGTAAGATAAATGAATATACATTTAGGCACTTCATACACTGTCCTTTTGACTGTGGATAATTTATGGTGATCACCTTTTTGTGCTTCATTTGTTTCATCATCACTCTGGGAAGCATGACCTTTTTTTACTTGTGTGTGTTTTATGATACTTCCTTATTTTTAATATCAGCCACTTTCTTTTCTTTTTTTTCTTTTCCAGATATATTTCAGTATATGTCCCCATGTTTGTGAAAAACCAGTGGGTTCAGGATAAGGAAATTTCTTCTTTTATTGTTACAATCACAAACACACAATGGAGATAGAGTAGTGAATCTTCAATGACAGATGTCATATTTTCTAGAGGTTGTAATAGTAGGATAAAATTTCGAGGTAAGTAGAAAATCCTGAGGTTCTAAAGAGATAATCTGGTAATTTAATGCCAAATTTAACAGTACTAAGAATTTTTTTTTTTAAATAATATTTTGCAGATAATGTTTTTGAGAATAATGGACATTTACAAATAACAAGGATCTTTACCTGCTTACTGAAAAACTAATGAAGAAAACAAGAATCTTTACCTCTAAAACTTGATGTAATGTTGGAGTGTCTAAACCCACTTAGTGAATCCCAATCAATGGTAATCATGCACTGTTTAGCCAGATCAGGATTTAATTTATATTCGGAACTAGGTGAAGAAATGTCCTGCAAGCATGTTTGGATTTTTGAGTATGCTTATTTATAAGTACTGTTTAATGGAGGAGTGTGCCAGAACTAGTATTTATTCTTGAAGGCAAATTTTTTATCGGAAGAAAGTAAGGGCAGCCAATTAAGTAGATCTGATGCTAACGAAACAATGCCAGATCTATCACAAAAAAATGGAATAGTGTCTCTGGCACTACGTTTATTTGATTCATGGGTTGTGGTGAAATAAAATCATCACCTGATATCAGCTTTCTGTACATCAAATGATGGAGGACTGAAGAACTGCCTCCTTTAAGCACTAAATTTCTGTGGTTAATGTCTTTAGTCAACCTAGAATGACACCTACTTCCACTATTCAAATCTGAAGTCCAGAATTCATATTAAACCTATCAACTAGATCAATGTGCATGCTGTAACAGTGCTGTGCAAGTTATTTCTTTGTCAGCTAATTGCATATAATTGTCTCACAAATTTATATTTTTGATTCACTGTTGTGTTTGTCTAATCCGTGCAGCTTCAAGATAAGGAAAGATGATTATTCTGATACATGTTTATTGATTTTTCAATGCTAATAATTAGATTGAAATCTTAAAAACTGAAATCAAGTTAAATATCTTTCAACTATAAGGGATTTTTTTTAAATACATGAATTCGAAGTTTACTTGCAAGTCAAATGACTCATACCGTGATTACTTGGTAGAGTTGCATATTTTGGTGAAGCAACCAATAGCACATTCAATACGATTAAACTATGAATTTGGGTTACAAATTCTTTATTGTCATTTGTCACTCTACATACAGTTTGATTCCACTCTCTTTTGAGTAATTTCAGTGAAATTGTGTGAAATAATAAGAAAAGCGAATCTACAATAATTTTGTTCATGTAAGATCTTTTAAGATTTTTCCTATTTTTATTTATCATAATGCTGCCCTTCTTGTTTTTCTTGTCGTCTCATATTGTAACAGGTAAGTGAAGAAGTGGAACGTGCTTTGGCAAAGTTAGGTCCTGCTAGAGTTAATGGAAGGTTAGAAATATCCCCGAATGTATATAAAATTGTTATGTATTGTGAAAAATATTAATAATTTGTTTCTCAATTATATTGTTATGTTTTATTGCTATGTATAATGCCATGCTCCTTTTGACATTTTTGAAAACAATTTCTGTTTGGGATGTTTGATTGTCTAACTGAGTCATTTGAGATAGACTTATGTGATTGGAAATATTTTGGATCTTGTTGAAGATAGAAATATTTCTCTCTTGGATTCCTGGGTTGGCCAATTTGGAGTTTGAAGCTAGTATCTCTTTGTACTGGAGTATATCGTTTCCCAGCATATGTGGAACTTAAGACACATGAATATCAAAACAGACTTTCACCTAAATGTTTTATTTATCTCATTTTTGCTCTTCTTCAATTGGTATTTCATAGACATGTAAAACCATTGGTTTTGCCTCAGTTTCGTGATTTGTTAGAAATGTTTTATTTATCTCATTTTTGCTTTTCTTCAATTGGTATTTCTTACACACATGTAAAACCATTGGTTTTGCCTCAGTTTTGTGATTTGTTCTTTCTTAAATTTGAGATTTCAGATTGTCCCCTAAACGAATTGAAGGGCAGGATGGAAGAAACTTGCAGTTGCAGTTCAGGTGCAGGTTGTCTATGCCTCTCTTCACAGGTGGGAAAGTAGAAGGGGAGCAGGGTGCTGCAATCCATATCGTTTTGGTCGATGCAAACAAGGGCCATGTTGTAACAACTGGACCCGAATCCTCTGTAAAGCTCGATGTTGTTGTACTGGAAGGTGACTTTAATAATGAAAATGATGAAGACTGGATGCAGGAAGAATTTGAAAGCCATGTTGTGAAAGAGCGTGATGGAAAGAGACCACTTTTGAATGGGGACTTGCAGGTGACTCTTAAAGAAGGCGTAGGGACGCTAGGAGAGCTGACATTTACAGATAACTCAAGTTGGATAAGGAGCAGGAAGTTCAGGCTTGGTGTGAAGGTTGCCTTGGGATTTTGTGCTGGCATACGCATACGAGAGGCAAAGACAGAAGCCTTCACTGTTAAAGACCACAGAGGAGAATGTAGGCTACTCAATTTCTATTTTTACTCTCATTTCTTAATTTTCTTGAAATATATTTGCTGAATTACTTTGTCCCCTGACAGTATACAAGAAACACTATCCACCTGCTTTAACTGATGAAGTGTGGAGGTTGGAAAAGATTGGTAAGGATGGCTCATTCCACAAGAGGCTAAATTCTGAACAGATAAGCACGGTTGAAGATTTCCTTAAACTTCTAGTCAAAGACTCTCAGAAGTTACGGACAGTAAGTGTGTATATGATTTGGTTGTCAGATTAGGAAGCCATTCCCTGTAATTGTCTTCTAATATACACACATGATTGTTGTAGATCCTTGGAAGTGGCATGTCGAATAGGATGTGGGAGGCTCTCATAGACCATGCGAAGACTTGTTCCTTGAGTGGGAAGCTTTATGTATATTACACTAATGAAACAAGAAATGTAGGTGTTGTTTTTAACAATATCTATCAGCTGAGTGGCCTTATATCTGGTGAACAATATTACTCGGCTGATTCTCTTTCTGACAGCCAGAAGGTTGGTATGACAATGTTGTTCTTGTGTTATTTAAATAGGTTTTAATATTTGTAATCTATCCGAAGACTTTGTAACAACCCTCACCCTCTCCAAACCCAATATTGTTCGCTTTTGGCTCCCCCGGACCAGAGACTTCCCAGAGGGTCACCGGTATTGACTTCGGAGTTTTGGTAGGTTCACGGCCATCACGGCTTTAAAGTGTGTTGCGCCATAGAATGGTGTTGAATCTACATATAGCACCTGCCCTTTCCACACCCAGGCGACGTGGGAGGTGCACTTATAGCTCGCCTAGTGTGGTAGCCTACTGGTGCCACCTGCACACCCTCACACACACCCGCCCACAAGGTCGCCACAATCACCCCCCCTTTGGGGCCCAACGTCCTCATTGGCTACAGACTTCCACCTATAAGTGTATTTGGCACGATATTTACTCTGCAAGCTTCATAAACCATATTCTTGAAATTTATAATGTTATCAAATTGCTGTAGTTACTGGTTGCTGTCATTTTGTTTACTCTGATGTTGACTCTTTATTGCAACTTTGAACATGATTTGTGAAGGGGTTGCATGTTTGACCAAGTTATCAGTTAAATTATGTAGATTTGACCAATATTTGATGGTAAAAATATTGTTTGGAAATGTGTAACATGAGGATTTTTATCGCTGTTGTTCGTCTCTGCTGTTATTTTATTTACCGGCGCAGTCTAATGTTAATTGTAAGTTGACATCTAATGAGATTTATAAACATGTGGATTATATAGTTGGCTGTGTTATTGGTAAATTAATGACCTATTTAATTCAATATTTGATGGTGATTGTTTATTCGAAGTGTATTGTAAGAACATATAAACATATATATATATATATATATGTTTTTGTAGATTTCACATTAAAATAAACTGACCAAAGTTGGAAACATAATCAACTGAAGCTGAAGACTTGGTAATTGCTCATGTTTGTACTGTAACTAGAGAAGCTGATGCTTATGTCTATAACTGCAGGTATTCGTGGATTCCTTGTTGAAGAAAGCATATGATAATTGGGACCAAGTTGTAGTGTATGATAGCAAGTCACTATTAAGCTTCAAGCAAAGTAAGATGTCGAGTGCATCTGGAAATGAAATTTCAATGGGCCAGATGTCGAGTGCATCTGGAAATGGACTTCCAATGGACGTGATTAACTATCCTTCTTCTTTAGATAATCAACTTCTCCCACCACATTTGCCAGTTGCAGTTCTTTCTGAGCGGCCTTCGATGGATGCAAATCTACTAATTGGAGGTAAGCATTTCTGGCTACTAAAGCAGATATTGTTAGATTATTGATGGGTATGCATTAGCGAGCTTGTGGAAAAGATGTTTAATGGATGTGATTTTGCCATATGTATGTTGCTTGGAAGTCTTGAACATTACTGGTTTTGCTGGCAAAATCTGAAATCAGTTTCCCATCAGTGTCATCTACCTATAAACATTGTTATCAATTTTTAAATAGTGCCATTAATGTTAAAAATTGTCTTTTTTTTTTTTTTTTTTTGAATATTTGTGTTTTACTTGATATGCAAAACGAATTCTTAAATGTCTCTCTTGTACTTGATGCTGTCCCCCTTTAAATGGGTGCATCCCAAAGCAGTGTTTAAATTCTCTCCTATAGCCCATGCGGTCCTCCTTTAGGTGGGTGCATCCCCAAAATATTCTTTTGAAAGTCATCATCTCATAATAATTAGAGGATTAAATTGAGACCAGGGAGTGGAAATTGTTTCTTTTTTCTTTATAAAAAAAGAAAAGAAAAGAAGAAGATGAAATATTTGCTTTCTAAATTTATTGGTTTCTAAGAATACCCTCAATTTGCTTCTGGTAAGCAATCAAAACCATATTGTAGTGTAAAACCTATGTGTGTGTGTGTGTGGGTGTTTTATTTATTTATTTATTTATTTATTTTTGTGTGTGTGTGTGTGATAGAAAGAGAGGGAGATAAGAGGAACTAATGGGGTATATCCGATCGGAGATACTAACAGGACCAACTGCCTCTTTACTTTAGTGTGGTCTAGTCTTTCCAGTGCCTTTTCCTTACCGTACTAGGAGTAAGCAAGCTAGCTTTCTTTCATTTTAGAAACCGTAGCTTCTTCGCCCTTCCTGCCTGTTGAAATTGATATGAATGATATAGTTACAGTTTCCGTTTGAGAAAATCATTTTTTTTTTTCCCTCTTTTTTCATTTTATCATTTTCCAATGGCATGGGCTACACAACAGACTCGGTCCTCTATATACCCTATAATTCCACTAAATATATATATATATATATATATATATATATATATATATATATATTTTTCCTAGTTCTATAATTCCACCATTGATGTACCTATACCAGGATTTGAACTCTGACGATAGATACCATTACCACCTGAGCTAGTGAAGAAAGCCTTTTTCAACTATTTAGGGTTAGTAACGTCTTTTAGTTATTTTGGTAGGTTGTTGGGGACCCTGCTGACCTATTGTAAGCTTTGGTGATTGCCGTTATTTTTTTTTATTTATTTTTGGTTGACTCTATCTCTCTCTCAACACACACACACAATTGCCTACAGGCTACCTTCCAGGAAAAAATTGCCTACAGGCTACCATCCACCAGCATTAAGTGTTAAAATGACTGATGTATAATACAGTTATTAATTATAGTTGGTTATTTCCCCCTGATTCAGCTTCAGGTTATAATGACAATATGGCGATTGAATACTCAAAACATTCTCAGCTAGTGAATTCCAGTTCTGGCACACAGTTTGACAACACTCCATTTGGTTTGCAAGACCTGCATATCAGCAATTCTCGCCAAAATGAAAGTACAAGATATGGTGACAAGGTTGGACTGGCTCTTGGTCCTCCACAATCATCGTCATTCCAGGGAACTAGCTCATCTGTTCATCAATCCAGTGTTGATCCCTTTGATGACTGGTCTAACAACCAGGACAAGGGTGTGGATGACTTCTTGTCAGAGGAGATTCGCAATAGAAGTCATGAGATGCTTGAGAACGAAGATATGCAGCATTTGCTTCGACTCTTCAGCATGGGAGGCCATGCCTCTGTTAATGTTCCAGAAGATGGGTACAATTTCTCATCATACGTGGAATCACCATCACCATTACCAAGCTTCGGCTATGACGAAGATCGCACCCGTTCTGGCAAAGCTGTCGTGGGTTGGCTCAAAATCAAAGCAGCTATGAGGTGGGGCTTCTTTATTAGGAAGAAGGCAGCAGAGAGGCGAGCACAGATTGTAGAATTAGAGGATGAATAGAATTAGCTGTGAAAATGGTGTTTGACCTTGGACGTGAGTATTTATTTGGGCTGCAATTACGATTCTGATAATTGGTGAAACTCATCGGTGCAAGCAACAACTTTAGGTTTCAGGAATTCATAGAAATTATTAGCCCAGACTTTGAAGGTCTCTGTTTGTGTTACAGATATCAGAGATTTCCTTCTTGTACAGTTTCCTGTATAGTAATTTGTCCAACACTCTCCTGTTATTTACTTATTTGGTGTGCTTCTGTCATCTTTCTACATCTGGTTTGTCAATGACATGTATTTCAGGACCCAACGCTAATTCTCTTTAATGATGTTGATGATTGAAATTTAGGGTAACTTTTATGATATTTTAGACATGCCTACTATAACCTGTCTTTGACAATGGATTATTATTTGGCAAGTATATAATTTTCTTACTTTGCTAGTCTGCTCCTCTCATTTATGTATGCAATAATGGTAAGTTCTACTTTCAAAGTGAATGCTAGACCTTATGATAATGAAAACTCCGTAGAAGTGATTAAAGACATGAAGGTAATTACATTAGTGTAGTAAATGTGGGATGATGGCATGGATTTGTGATTACTCGGTCATAATTTCTTTGTTATTTTCGAAGGAATTATTATTATTATTATTATTTTTGAAAGTAGAGTTAGAATTTGTCATATTGTAAACATTTTCTAACAATGGCCACCTTGGTCAGCAGATCCAGAGAGTTGGATACAAATCTATATAACATTTTACATTGTGATAATTATGCTTATTTTATTTTATTGAGCAACAAGATTGAATTACAAAGAATAAAGAATAGAATAATTGTATATATCCTGAACAAGAATAGAAAGAATATATATATGGCTGTGGAAAAACAACTATAAATAATTCATGTAATATGCAGTGTCTTCAAGTGCTTGCACATTCTGGAGGAAGGCCTTGAGGAAACCGCTTTGCGTCGGTGCAGTAATTGTAAATCATGTAATTATTTTGCACCCATTTCAGCCTACCTTGGCTGGTGGAGTCCAACTCTTCTGATAGCCATGCATTGCTGGTCGAGGGAGCATTTGAAGCGCAAGAAGATGCACCAGAAGACCAAGTGCAAGCATTGGCATTGAAGTTCCTGTACGAAGCTGTAAAGGGTGCTTGAGTCCAGTCAGTCTTCACCAACCCACCCCTCGTGGCCCAATCGTCCGCGTTCCACAGGCTAGAGTATATCCTCATTGCCTGATTCTTTGGGTATGGAACACCAATTGACTCCGAGTTCTTGAACTCTCTAATGGGGGTGCCGTCCACAGAAAATCTGAAATGGAGGGAAAATTTGAGTCAAAACAAAGTTGAAAAAAAATGTCAATATAAAAATCCAGGTGTGTATAACAAGCTGGGCACTTACATAATCCGTTGAGGGTTCCAGAGGATGGAATAGGTGTGGAAATCAGCAGTTGGGTCGAACCAAAGGTAAAACTGCTGCTCTCTGTTGCCTTTGCCTTGGCTGAAAACATTGGTGTGAAGAATGTAAGGGTCACCACTCAAGTTCCCCAAGAACTCAAAGTCTATCTCATCATGGGTTGGACCTTGTGATGACAACTGCAATGAGACCACACACAAACATGAGGATTAGACATTACTCATTAGAGTTTAACAAACAAAAAGAGATTAAGCCATTTGTGAAGGGAACTTACATAGTAGGCGGTGACAGTGCCAGCAGAGTTTCCGGGGACAAGCTTGAGCTGCATATCAATCTTTCCGAATAGATATTCATTCTTGGACTGGAATCCTGAGCCAGAGGCCTTGTCAAGGGAGAGGGTAAGAAGGTCGCCGTTGTTGAGTATCTTAGCGCGGCCATCGCCCCAAGTGAGATCAATGTTTTGGTATAAGTTAGCAGCAGACGCAAAAATTAAAGAGCCAAGCATAGCAGATAGCACCAACAATAATAACACTGAAGTTGAAGAAGAAAAGGCCATTGGTGTTTGATAATTGGTTCTAGTATATGATGTGAATGAGAAATGAAGAGAGTGTGGGTAGGTATTTATAGGGAGGTATGAAATGGAAAAGATGAGGGAGAGAGGGAAAGGCAGAGGAAAGTTCTGAACCCATACAAAGTTGTGAGTGGAGGGAGAGTTGGAGGGTCTGAGCTGGACACAGATATTGGGTAATGTTGGTTCAGAAAGGTGGTTTGTTTAGCTGTAAAAAGCGCACGCCAGCCCAAGCCTTTTTCGTTGAATCATATGACGCGGTTTTGTGGAGCTGTTGGCAGGTGATGTGAAAGCTTTTGACCAAACAAAAAAGGCGTTATCTATAAGCCGCGTCTCCAACTCCACTAGACGAGCCTGGAGTGACACTGTTAAACTGCGAATTAAATACGTTTATACCACTTTATTTATAATAGCTGAAAATTCGAAATTAAACCATATAAAAATAAATAAAAGTTGCACGCTTTGACAGAATTAAAGCATGAACTATCAGTTTGGCATTATAGGGTAACTTTGTTTCTAATTAGCTTTACTTAATTGTGGATGAAGTAGATCTTGGGAAATGTAACTCTTGCTTTAAAAGAAAATTACAAGAAGAAGATACATCTTGTAGATGTATCACGAGATATACCTACACCGGATGATCGTGGTCAATGAATACATAACAATGCACTTGATGAGCATCAAAATATATTTCTCCATGTGAATAGTTATTTACGTATTGTCACTTATCACAATAAAACTCCATTTTAATTAAACCGTCCAATTTGATCAGTAATAATTTTTTCAAATTTAAGCGTATATTGACAAGTAAAATCTTTACCGTTTAAAATTTTATTCCATTTTAATGTATTATTTATTCTTGTAAGTGGCTTCCAAATTGCGTTATAAAATGCACATAATTAATTTAGAATAGAGTATGGAAAAGAAAAAAAATAATAATTTAGAATAGAGTATTGGGGTGAGTTGCCAAATTCTTGTTTCATCATTTGTTGTATGTCCTTTTCATGCAAATTAACCAACACTGTATCCTACAATGCTTTTGATGTCAATGACCATGTATGAATAAATGAATAAAATATTTTGAGAATTTGAAATGTGTACGTTAGAATTTAATACTCCATATTAGCAAGGGTAGGAGCGAAGTGGGGACTGAATTTGACCTAGTAAGAAGCATCTGCGAGGCTAGCTTCTTTAATTATTCATCCCACTTTTGAGTCGGTGTTCAATTTTCATAGTAGCCAAACAAAAACAGAATTGGGGTTCTCAAAACCATTAGCTCAAGTCATCAAGTAATGCCCATAGCCAGCTGTTTCACACACACACCCCAACACCATAAACCAATGCATGTACAACCTTCCTATACACTTTCCAATTTTATAGTTCTACTCACTTCACCACCTATATATTACCTACCAAAAGAGCTAGCTAGCACAATCACATTCCATTAAACTCACCACATTTCTCTCCCTAAGTCCCACCCTAAATCACATTCTCTCCTTTCAAATTCACCACCAAAACATCGATCAATGGCTACTTCAAGAGACTCGTCAGTTTTACTAATGATCTCTCTTGTGGGAAGTTTACTCATGCTTCTCTCAGCTGCTAACCTTCACCAAGACATTGACATCACATGGGGCGATGGTCGCGCTAAGATACTTAACAACGGCGAGCTTCTTACCCTCTCGCTTGACAAAGCCTCCGGCTCAGGCTTTCAATCCAAGAATGAGTATCTTTTTGGAAAGATCGATATGCAGCTCAAGCTTGTCCCCGGAAACTCCGCTGGCACTGTCACCGCCTACTATGTAAGTTCTCATTCATTTGTGTTACTAATAAGACTGATATTTGGAATGTTTGATGCGAGTGGACGCTGACATTAGCGGTGAAACATGCGCTATTCTCCAATCTCCATTCACATAAAAACAATTAAAATTGTCCGACTGACTGTAGTCATCTTTTTAATTCTAATGTTGTGTCTATTAATATTGCAGCTGTCCTCACAAGGGTCAACCCATGATGAGATAGACTTCGAATTCTTGGGAAACCTAAGTGGTGACCCTTACATTCTTCACACAAACGTGTTCAGCCAAGGCAAGGGAAACAGAGAGCAACAATTCTACCTATGGTTCGACCCAACTGCCAATTTCCACACATACTCAATTCTCTGGAACCCCAAATGCATTATGTAAGTACCCCAAAAGTACTAAACTAAAATAATCACAATTTTTTAAACTTTAGTATCTGATTAAAAAATTTCACTCCATTTCAGATTTTGTGTGGACGGCACACCCATTAGGGAGTTCAAGAACTCAGAGTCAATTGGTGTTCCATACCCAAAGAAGCAGGCAATGAGGATATACTCTAGCCTGTGGAACGCGGACGATTGGGCCACGAGGGGTGGGTTGGTGAAGACTGATTGGAATGGAGCACCCTTCACTGCTTCATACAGGAACTTCAATGCCAATGCTTGCATTTGGTCTTCTGGAGCATCTTCTTGCAGTTCTGCTGGTTCTAGTTCTAACTCGTGGCTCTCACAAGAGTTGGACTCTACAAGCCAAGAGAGGTTACATTGGGTACAAAAGAACTACATGATTTACAATTATTGCACAGACACCAAAAGGTTTCCCCTAGGCCTTCCTCAGGAATGCAACATGTCCTAGAACATTTAAATCGTACTCATATGTCAATTCTTTTGTTATTTGCCCAGGCTCATTCTTGATCGCATTGTATTCATTTAATTCTCTGTAATCCCACAATCCAATTCGTATACATTCTTTCTTCTTCTTGTTGTTAATCAATTCGATAAAACAAATCCATTATAATTTTGAAATTTCATCAATTACCGGTGCCATTCTATCATAAAAGAACGGATAAGAGCATCTCTAGCAGTCTAAATTTTTTTTAATGTCTAGCAGCGTGTTAAAATATACTGTCATGTTACCAATATGTAAAATTGTGGGTTTGTAAAAAATATGTGAGGTTTAGGCATAATACTGAGTGGTTGTTGTTGGGGGAGATATTTTTACACAAAACATATAAAATAATCCAATTCTTTTTGTCTAAATTTATTATGACACATCAGATTTTATACCAAAAAAAAAAAAAAAATACACAATGGTTCAAAATGCTCTAAGAATTCAATTATTATAAAGAAATATGCTAAAAGGAATCATTATGCGCTTAATGTGGTTTTTTATGTGATATACAAAAATAAAAAACATTAATAAATAATTTACACTTTTAGTGATATGGAAAAATAGATATTTAAAAGGATAAAAAAAGCAATTAATAATCAATAAAATAATAAATGTGTTAGAATTCCAAATTAAACAGGAGTTAATAATTAGATGTAGATATAGATATAGATAAAAATTTGTTAACAATTATAATAATTTGGTGGTTTTTAATATGACTAATTTGATACTTTTTACAATTTTAAACTTAAAAATTATAATTATTACATTTAATTTAAAGTATTTAAACAAAAATTATTTTGTATTTTTAAAATTTTTAAAAAATGTTAAAGAATTCCTTATACATTATATGAATATATGGATATAGACGAGCCGAAACTCTCTACGGGTTGAAATTGAATTCGGGTTACCTCAGGTCCGGACCAACCCGAAGTCGGATTGATGCCGGGTTCGGATTGAACCGGCTTGAGCAGCCCCGTTGCGAGAAAGTATTTGGTGTAGCCGGTGTCCGGTGCACCTGGCACACCGAATACTTTCTCCCAAGTGCCGGTGTATAGTCCCTCAGCTTTCTGTTCTTCCCCTGCTCAAACCGGTGCCAAGGTTAGGGTTTACTTTCTCTACTGTGTATTTTCTCCTCATTCCAGATTATTTTTCAATTTGTTGTCAAAATACTGGCCGTTGATTTGAATCCCATATGCATCCCTTATATATATATTAATATATATACACCATCTTTTCTACTACACCACTGAATTCTGGAATTTTTTGGGTGAATTTTAACCCTCTAGGTTAGGGCTCTACATTGCATTATGGAATGTTGTGGGGGAAACTAAATTCAAACAAGAGGTTCTGGAATTGTGGGTGGTGGTTCAACAAATTCCGACCTCCATAGGCGGAAGTCTTACCTCTCTCTGTTGTATATCACCTGTAAAATGTAAATGTAAAGATTGCTTTTCAAGTTCTTGATGTATAAAATCTGCATCTCTCTGAATTTTGTCATATCTCTGGTATTGTAACATGGATCATTTATAAACCATGTAAGAACAAAAATTCTTCATTAATAATATTGTCAAATAAGATGAAAAATAGCAGTAAGATAATACAAAATAAGGTACAGTGCTGAAATGGAAATGCTTGTTTGCTGGTATGTTGAAATTAGTAGTCATATCCATGGAATTTTTTTCTTTATTTTATATATGATATCTTAGTATCGTACACTTTATCTTTGCCATGCATATCCTACTCTTATGTCTTACCCATATTTAGTGTACCTTTGCTTCTTATTATATGGACAACTGGTGCCAGCAAAAGAGAAGAAATATAGGCTATATCTGTGACCAGAATCAGACCTCAACAGAGTGATTTGGCTTCATCGGTTAGCAATAATTGTTTTATGTTTTCCCTTTTCCCATTCTTATCCTCGTCTTCTTATTTTTTCTACATGTTCGGACATGTGAAGTATCATAGTTGCCTTCCACCTGTGTCCTCCGTTTGTTTTCATGAGAGAAAGGGCAATGTTCCTAGTTCATGTGGTTCTACGCGGGCTTAGTTTATTTGCTTAACAAGCTTGAAAATTGGGCTTTGAACTCAACTCATTGACTTAATGAACAAGCAGATGCCTGAGTTATTCCTTTTTTTTATTGTTTCATTTGTATTTTTAACAAATCCATAAGTATAGGTGGTGGGCATGTGCCTTGACTCTTTGAAGCCATGTTACCAGAGATTCAATATTGTAATATAACAATTGGGGATGAAAATGCCACCACAGTTTTATCCTGCTATTAGGAGGATAATATGCCATGTAAATCCTTTGATTCTTTTGTTAACTTTGTTCACCAAATCTGGATTTCTTTCTTTCTTTTTTATTTTTTATGTAATGTAAGTGCAACATTTAGTGTAGTTCTTTTGCTAACTTTACCAGATGAATATGGAAAAAAATTTCTTCTTTTAGGGCATTCAATGTATGAAGCACTGCCCAAATAGATGGATTTATCGTTGATCTCCTGTTAGGACTCGAGCGCATAAAAAAATTAAAAATAAATGAAAGTTTCATATATAAGTTTGTGTGCATATGCATCATGCATTTATGGGTGTGTGCATGTGGATACACGGACATGTACCTAATAAGCATATCCAACGATTCAAGTTTGTTATATGGTTGTGCATAAAACTATATTATTATGTTCCTTTTGCTTACATTATTGTTTCAAAATGAGTAAATGTGTCTATGGTGAACATTTTTTGTTGCATAAAAGCTTTATTTTACTCTTGAAAATGGAAGATTATGAAGATGTGCCATGGCCCTATATCGTTGTGCCTGATTTGATAACTCTGATGCTTGGACACATACTAAAGTTTATGTAAAATAGGTTAGAACACAATCCTCTATTTATACATACCGAATGTGAACTTTTTTTGTGTATGCACTGCAGTCTTTCTTGTTTAAGTAGTTTTATTTATTTATTTTTATTTTTATCTTTTTAAGTCATAATTATCTATTAGGTGTGCATTCAATCTTAAATGTTATATCCTCTCCTTATCATGTAATTAAGCTATGCATTTGGTTCACATGCCTCTGATGCAGCTTCAATACATAACTTCCGCAACTTGTAGCCTTTTCTGCTCCCTTGAAATTATTCTCGTGCTTCCAGTTTACTTTATTTTCTCTTTAAGCTGTATTTGTACTTGCAAATTCCATTTAAAAGTTTGCTACCTCTATGCCACTTTTTGTTTGTTTGTTTGTTTTTGTTCATGTGTACTGATTCTACCTCTCAACATTGACAGATGTATTTTTCAGATTTATGTTTATGTAAAGATAAAGAGTTTGAGTCTGAAGATGAAATCATAGATTACGTTGATGTGGATGACAGGGCTGGATTTGTTGCCATTGTGAAACGCCTATATGGATATTGATTACGAAAAATAAATAAATCTATTGAAGCTAGATATTGTCCACACGGTGTTTTTAGATTGATTTGTACCTATGACGCAGTAGATTGCACAAAAGCTTTACTTGAAGGAGACCTTTTCGTTGTAGATCTTAATGTTCCCATTGAATTTGGATTATGTCCATTGCATATTGCTGCTGAAGCTTTCTCATATGACATGATTGACTTATTACTCCGCCATGGGGCTCAGACTGATGTCAGAACCATAGAAGGTGAATTCAGGGGTGACTTGCTGCCTCTGAATATAGCACTCGAAATGTTAAGGTACAAGATGTCATGTTGTAATTTATTCCAGAATTGTTTGATAGAGCCCGTTAAATAAGCCATTTGATCTTTGCACCATACCTTCTTTTTTCCATGTTGGTTGATTGAACTTATTGTTTGGCTGGAGCTGTTATCATCGATACCTGTCTGACTGGACTCCAAAGCAGTCTATTTTCAAGTTGATTGTTATTCTTTCCCTGCCACAAATGGTTTGTTTTTGCTACATATTTAATTTGGCTTGAAAGAATATTTTAGTTTATAAATGCTTGTGATTAGGAAGAGTATATGAACTGTTTTCGTTGGTTGCTTATTATATTTAAATAATTCTTATGCAGAAAGTACCATTAGAAACCAATAGGTTGCTTGCATGGAATACAAAGGATGTCAGCAATATATTTTACCATTACGCTATGGAGGGAAAACTTATTCCAGTGGCTACTCTGCTGATGGTGGCTCGAGAAAAGATTATGGCTCCAAGCACGATGCAGAGCAAAGATTTTTGTGGTTTAGGAGGCGGCATGATGATCCGCCAATGCATCCTTGAAGAGATGGCATCACTAACCAATGAGGAGGTCAAATTAACGTGCATTGGTAGCTATTCTAATCAGAGGCTTAAGAATAAGAAGGCATTGATGACAATTGCCCTGCTGTTGCTTGAAGTTTTTGATAAGGCTGGTGATGCTATTGAAACATATAGGCGGTCCGTTCGATATTATGTAAGCTGTTCGTGTACTTGTTTTTGGATCTTTGTGATTTTTCTTACGTTGCACTTCAATCCTCATTTACCACTGATTTTGAGAGTTGGTTATTTGTTGAAAGTGCCCACGCCCTGCAAAACAAAAAATAAAAAATAAATAATCATCGTCAGAAATTATTTTTCTTCGAGTCCTTTTGATTTTGACGTCACACTTCCGTGAAGTTAGGTCTATTTGTCCCCTTACAGATTTCAAAAGAAAAGGTGGTGAAAGACCTCAAGGCTCTGCTTAAGGAATCGGGTTTTGTTTTGAAGGACAAAGACATAGACTTGAGTGACAAAAACTGGTTCGATGCATTGTTAATTTGTTAAATTAATGAATTTGAAAATTTTATGCTATTTTTTCCCGTCTTTAGTTTAGCTGCTTTGGAATAAGCTGGAGTACTCTAATTCACATTTATTTGCTTGTGACATTCTGATAGTGAATAGTGAAAGTGAAGATATCAAGCTGGCAACAGAAGTGTTAGGTGATTTGTTGATTTTTCTTCACTAAAAGTCTTCCTTGCTTCAGAGATACAAAGGAAAGCATATTTACAACAGAATTCCATTTCACTTGTCTGATTACATCATCTTTTCTTTTACACAGAAAAGAGAACATCATTTAGGTCTCAATTACAGGATCTCTGCATGCCACTCCACTCTGTGCCGCGCAGTTTTTGCCAATAAAAGGTGAGAAATGTAGCCAGTAAATGTCATTGTTAATTTTTCTCTCCTTGTGATATGGTATTGCCACACCCATGATAATGCAGGGAAAAACTTTTTAACAACATAAATTCTTTCTTAAATATTTCATGACAAGGAAATCTCATGTTTGATTACTTGTAGAATAAACATGCCCTTGCAACGATAAAAAAAAGTTAGTTTGTTTGGAAGAAACAAATTTTCTATATAATTTTAAGCATTATAAATTTTGATTACAGGGATTACATTATAATTTGCTTAGCTCTCGCTCATCCTCACTTACTCAACTCAACAAGCAAATGCTCGTCTGTTGGTTGAAATTGATGATATTTGAATAAGCCTAAATAAAGTTTGATATGAACAATCTAATGCCATACTAGATCCACAAGTGATGCTATTATATTGGGTATTTCTCATATAGCTTTTTCTTTTTTGGAGTGTTGAAAGGCTTACTTATGGGAAATACTGTTATATAGTGCCTCAATGTTATGTAAGAGAATATTGACTTGTAAGCTATGGCCTACGGGGAACCATTTGCAACGTATAACGGTTTATTTATTTATTTTTATTTTTTTTGTGGAAAAATCATAAGGTAATTGCCATAAGCCTATACCTCTTTCTACTCTCCCATGATCTCGTCTCTTTCTTCTATGAACTTGCTGGTATTGGTGATTCAAGGCATTCTTTTTCTGGTTTTGTCATTGATTGGTTTTGTCAATGATTTTATAGTCTTTGAGAATATAAAGGCTAACCATTTGTTTTTCATGGTTTATGATTTTTATAATTTCAAATACGGTCAGAGACTCAGATCTGTAATTGACCCCTAATTCAGAGTTATTGGTTGGTGTGGTCCAAGGATTCTTAACTTTAAAGTCTGATAATCTGTATTTCCATCGCCTATAGATGTTATTAATCTCATTTTTCTAGTGTCATAGAAAGAGAGGGATATATGTGTCATTTTAATATTTTTTTTTAGTAATTAACCACTGATGAGTTGAGAGCATATTAGTAAAAGCACACAAAATGTAAGTTTATGTAACAAATTGTTAGTCTAACAGGTGTTAGAGTAACTCTACCAAAAAGTTTAATGTGAAAATGATTAAGCCAAACCTTAGGGGAGGTTAGAATAATTTGTTGTGAAAGTCAACAGAAAATAAATCAAGAACACACAAATTTTACTTGTTTCACCCAAAATTAGGGTATGTTTGCGGGTTGCAGGGATTTCACCATATGGAGACGACAAAATATTGAGAGTTCAAAATAAATAAATACCATCACCCTCTCACTAGGGCAATAGGGCAACATAACAAGAGCAAAAATACTAAAATACCCCCCCACCCCCTGTAATTCACTATGTTGGATCGATCTGCGAACCTGGGCTAAGGTGTCCAAGGTGTCCACTATTTATCAAGCTCCACAATTCTCATCATAATATACCCAACCTTTAAACATATGACAAAAAAATTTAAACAAACACTAATGCAATAAATGTAAGTATTAAACCATAAATTTATGAATTTTTCAAATATTTAATTAGGTTGAACAATATAATCCCTTAAATATATAGTATAGAATATTTGAATTTAATAGTCATTTAATAAAAAGAAAATGATATGAACTAAATAATTTTAAAATAAAGGCACTTCTTTTGATCTTGGAGGCTACTAAAAAGCGCAAGCTTGAGTGTTCTAGGCTCATCTTTAACAACTATGGCCTTGAGAATAATGTAGTTTTGTCAAATTACTTGAAGGCAATCATTAACATAGAACATATGCAGGGGTAGTTCGTGTATATATGAGTACATGGATTCCGTTTATTTTTTTTTTGTGTCTCGATTTCTGAGGTGGGATGTCTCGTGCCTGTACTCGTGTCCACATCGTAAGTGTAAATGTATATGCCAGCATCTTATGTAATAGAGCTGTTTAATTCTTATAGTTAGTTTTTTAGCATAAAAAATTTAGACGACTAATTTACCACTGCAAGGGAATCTCTCATGCAGCATGAGTGCTCTTCTATAAGCAAAATGTAGAAGCTTGATTTTAGGTTTCTTCAAGTATGTTAGACACTAAAGCAAAGTAGTGATGTAGATGTTTTTTGTTCTTCTAATTTCTCGTTATTTGGCTGCATATAAATGTGACTAAGCCATGACTTGTTTTGTGCAGCGTCCGATTACTTACAAAGAAAATGAGAAAAGGTGGGCAATGTCTAGATTTATTGAATGGGGATGGCCTGCTTTATTGCATGAACGACGTTACCATATATTCCACTTCTTGACGCCTGGTAATAACGAGTTTCATTTCTATCTGTTACCAAGCAACAGGAAGATGGGTAGTGCGATGAAAACACCAGCTACATTTTTTCTATGTACGAAAATGTTCAAGGCCTTTGCATTAGCAATCAAGCGTGGGTTAACATGCATATGATTTAAGGTAAGAATGATTTCTTTTTAAGGTTTATCTGATCCTCCTCTTTTTTCTTTTTGACAACAAAAGTGAATTCTGACTACAATTTTTTTGCAAAACTTCTACTTCTTGTTACATAGTGGATGAGTCATTTAGGTATTCAATTTTGTTCTCTTCATAGGTAATTGTGCTATTTTATTATTATTAGGGTAAAAGTGCGAAAAACCCCTACTATATAAAAAATTTTGCCTTTTTATAAAGTGCATATAAATCCTTGTATTTTGAAAATTTGTAGCAAATTGCTCCCTTGTTGTCAATTTTGACCCTTGTTTTTTTATATAAAACAAAAAAAAAAAAACAAAAATACCCTTAAGTGAATTTTAGGTATTTTTTAATAAATTAAGATTAAAAAAATAAAAAACAAAATTATTGGTGAGGGGTAATTTGGAACTACTAGTATAAAGTTGTTATATTTTGTAATACATTTTGTCAAAGTGGCATTTTTCATACATTCTTTTTGAACATGGTGGTATTTGTAATACCACGTAAATAATTTGTCATTTATTAAACTATCGCAATTTGAATTGATGTTAATTACAGCAATTTTTTTATTGGTAAATAAGAACTTTATTAGAAGAAACAAGAAGTTGCTTGGGTTTTCCTATTTTCATACCCAAAGATAGGGGAAAAAAACTTATATAAAAAAACTTGTGCAGTGGCAATCTTTAGGGCACTATGTTTTTTTCACATCTCCGCGCTCCACCAACCACATTGCAATATTAACATTCTTCTAGTCCATTACCTTTCAAAGCCACGCTCCCACACACACACACACACACACACACACACACACACACACATATAAACACACGTAACTATTTCTACTCCTTCAAATGTAACAGTACTACTTTTGATGATGTCTGTTATTTGATATATATTGAGTATCTAAATATTTGATGATAATACGTTTTAATGTGATTGGTAACAATATATTTTAAAACACTTCTATTATTAATTACAATAATATTCTTTGATAGAATGTTACCGTATTTGTTAATAAAAACTTTATAAAAGAAGAGGTGAAATTTTTATAAAAAATACAATTATGTCTAAGAAAAACAGTTATCTAAAATATAAAACATCTACTCAAATTTTATTTTAAAAGTTAAAAATTTTAACTTCAAGTTTTACTTAATAATTACTAAAAGTGTTTTAGTGGTTACCTATCACATTTAAATATAATTTTTTTAAATAAAAATATTTTAAAGCATTAATAGGTAATCCCAAACAAATATGCTCTTAATATGAAAAAAAAAAAAAAAAAGAAAAAGAAAAAAAAGGAAGGGGAAGAAGCCCCGTCCACACAGGCTGATGCGGTTATAGACGTGAACCATTACATAATGTGAGATTTCTTTTCTTTCTTAAATGGCATTATTTATTTTTCTCACCAAATTAAAATTTTATATCAATTTTATGTCTTTCATTTAATTCAACATTTTTTTTTTCTACCTAACTTATTAATTGAAATATATAAAGGTGCAGTGATGAATAACACATTTGTCGCTTCCTTTAATATAGAAAAACGATATCCACAATCGCTGTCTTTCATAAATAAAATATTTATTTTTCTCAACTACTTAAAATTTTATGTATCAATTTTATCTGTCTTTCATTTAATTCAACTTCTTAATTTTTTTTATACAGTTATAAATACGGAGTAACACGTTTGTTGGGCCCTTTAATATATAAAAACAATATCCATAGATCATAATCGCTACTGACACGAACGTGGACTACTAAAGCCTTTAAATCATGTCGGGCGCATCTTCTTTTATAAGCTACTATTACTGACCAAATTAATTTTTGGCAACAAATAAAATTTTAAACTATTAATTTTATATTTAATTAAACATTTAAAATTTTATCTTTCTTTTATTTAATTAAACTTCATAGTTGAAATATATTAAATAATAAATAACTCCCCATTTATCCATTTAATTAATATACATAGACGTGTTTTCACACCTGAGCTTGTAATGGGTTTAACCCGAGATCTGATTTCATCAAAAATTCTTTTTAACAATTTTGAATTTTAGTTTTGTATTAGAGTTTTAAGAAAGTAATTGAGTTGGGCATAAATCTCAACTAAAAGATTTTGAATGTATTAAATTTTACGGAGATCCAAGCTAATGCTAGCTTGTTTGGATGTTATTTTTTTATTTTTTATTTTTTATGTTTGGTTATAATAAAATATTTACGAAGAAAAAAAATTTAAAACCTAACAAAAATTATTTTACATTGAAACAAACAGCGTCCAAATGAAATATGTTGTACTGTATTTGGATCATGTTTAAATATATAGGTCAGGTGTGAATTAAGTCACACATTTCTTCTCAACGGGTGTTACTTTCACGTTTTGCGCATGCTCTCGCTCAAATTCTCCCTATTTATGACAAAATTCTGTCGTTCTTGCTCTCGAATTTACTTTCATTCTCGCTCTCGCTTTATGTAACTTAGGGTGTAAATATTGTTCATAATATTCTATTTGAATTTAAGAAAGGAAAAAAAAAAAAAAAAAAAAAATTGATAAAATGCGAGTCTAACATGCTCTGAAAACAGAGGGTAGGCTCAAGCAAGGAAGGTGGTGTTTGGAGAACACTCTAGTTTCACACACACACACACACACACACACACACAACGCCAATAGCTTAGCTTAGATCATTCTAGGACTTGTTATACTTGTCTCTGCTAGCTGTTCCCAACTCAACTTCAACCTCACTCTTTCTCTTGCCATTTGGCAGTGAAGTGAACACCATCAAACACTCCTTTGCCTCTTCTCATCCACTACTCTCCTGCCTTCTTCACTCCTATATAAACACACACACACACACACATAAAACCTGGACTGGCACTTTCTCCAATTGCCCCATCACCACCGTGATCAAGAAACAATATCAATCAATGGCTTCAACTCTTGCACGAAGTTCGCTGTTGGCTCTGTTTCTAATTGCCACTTCAATGGTTTGTTTTGCTGCTAACAACTTCAACAAAGACTTTGACATCACTTGGGGCGATGGTCGTGGTAAGCTGCTCAACAACGGCGACCTTCTCACTCTCTCTCTTGACAAAATCTCCGGCTCCGGCTTTCAGTCCAAAAATGAATACCTCTTCGCAAAGATTGATATGCAGCTCAAACTCGTCCCCGGAAACTCCGCTGGCACTGTCGCATCCTACTATGTAAGATTTAAATAAATCTAACGGTAGGTAAGATTGTTTCATTGTGATCTACGACGAGTCGGATTTGATTAATTTTTAGTTGTCTGCATTGCAGTTGTCATCACAAGGACCAACCCATGATGAGATAGACTATGAATTCTTGGGAAATTTGAGTGGCGATCCTTATATTATACACACCAATGTGTACACCCAAGGCAAGGGAGAGAGAGAGCAGCAATTCTATCCTTGGTTCGACCCCACTGCTGATTTTCACACCTATTCCATCCTTTGGAACCCTAAATGCATTATGTAAGCAATACAACTCTTTTCGTTTTTTATTCTTCTGAAATTAATTTTCAATATTCTAAAACATTTCATTTTTTTAAACTCTATTTCCAATGAATAATTTTAATTGAAAAATAGTTTTAAAATTGTGGAGTTTGAGAGATTTTTTTGAAGCCAGATCCCACTAACTCATCTCTTGTGTTTTGATCAGTTTCTCTGTGGATGGAATTCCAATAAGAGAGTTCAAGAACATGGAATCAATGGGTGTTCCATTCCCAAAGAAGCAGAGGATGAGACTATACAATAGTCTTTGGGATGCAGAGGATTGGGCTACGAGAGGTGGGCTTGTGAAGACGGACTGGACCAAAGCTCCATTCACGGCCTGCTACAGGAATTTTAATGTGAATGGTTGCATATGGACAGACTCGGGAGCATCTACTACTTGTGGCCCAAGTTATTTACACAGTAGCAACAGTAAATGGTTCACACAAGAAATGGATTTGAGCAGTAAAGAGAGAATGAAATGGGTGAAGAGGAAGTACATGATCTACAATTATTGTACTGACACCAAACGATTTCCTTTGGGCTTTCCTCCAGAATGCAAAGCCATACAAATATCCTAAGAGAAACAAATGAAATATACAATAGTTTATCCATAGTGTAATGTACAAAATCTGTTTTGTCTCTTTTCCTTTTTTAGGTTTTTGTTTCTTTTGTTTTCCTAGGAGTCACCAATATTGTACAAATATAGTTATATATATATTGTATAATATACAATGTTCTTTGTATGTATTCAGTCCTTTATTTTTTCTTTTTCTTTTTCTCTCCAACGCCAATGTCAATTTATTTATTTATTTATTTCTTACAAAAGAGGATTTATTTATTTCTTACAAAAGAGGAGAGAATGAACTCAAACACGGTCACATAGTTGGACACTCTACTAACTACTAAGTATTATCTCTGTCCTAAAAAAGATGTCTTATTTGGGGAATTGTAACTCATAAACCGGACATCTTTTTTGAAACAGAGGGAATATTAATTAGGTATAACGGGTGGGTGCTTGCTCATTTATTCAAAAGCTTAAATTATTAAATAGTGCTAGATACTCACTAATTTATACCTATTTATTTTTCCGCTCTTTAGTAGACTAACCAATCCCTTAGGCGGGAAAGCAAGTGCGCTCAAGGGAGCGAGCAAGTTTTCGGACTTAAGGCTAAGTGGGGAGCGCAAATGGAAGGGGGTAAACTGACTGACTGTCTCCTTTAACTTCTCCTTCAACTTCAGAAAGGAGCAAGCGAAGAAAAGGGTATATACAATACCACCAGCGCCTTGTAACATTCTCCATCACCTGAATTCGCAACGCACTATTGTTGCGAGTCGAGCCATCCTACCTACTTGAGGTGAAGACCCGAACGTCTTCCTGGCCGATTGCTTTGAATGACACCGGATCGAGGATTGAATTTGGCTTTGATACCAACTGTAACGGGTGGACGATTGTCCATTTACTTAAAAAACCTAAGCTATTGGATAGTGATACATACTCACCTATTTATAACCATTCATTTTCTCATCTAGATTCGATGTGAGACAAGTTACCCTCGTAACACTTGCCACTGTAACATTCATAATCATTGTAAACTCTATCATATGGAATAGTTTCAAAAATACTAAAACATATTTTAACAAAAATTATTTTAATCCTAAATGACTAAAAAACACTAGGATGCTTCCCTTTATTCACACACACTTGTTAAAATTTCACAGTTCAGTTTTTTCAAGTTTAATCACAATTTTTCCTATTTTTCCTATTTTTCCCTTAAATTTTCATATGGTTGGCTCTTTATATAAAAACTTTATTTGAATTTCTTATTTAAATAATCATACAAATCCAGCAACGAAAAATTATTTGTATCTTACAAGTTATAAACTGAACTACTATTATGATCGTATTACAAGTTACAAAGACTTTGGAACAAGCATTACCAGCCTTTCTTTTTTTCGCTTACAATTATATATAATTCCACATTTAAAAATTTCAGTTTAAGTTTTGTTTGTTTGTTTATTTCAATTGGCAAGAAAATTACATGCCCATCCGTAGGGAACACACCCATTTGCCAGAAATTAAAGTTACCAAATTGTTTTATCTAAATCAATTTTTTTTCTTACCAATTTTTACTGTAACATTACAAAGTAAATATTTATACAGAATCATTGTTACTGTAGCACTTATTACATAAGATAAATTTTATCACTTCGTTGTAAAATTAACCAATGAATAATATAAAATTATCTCTTTTATTAAGCACTTTGATTCCTTCAAGTGAAAAAAATTTAATTAAGGGTATGTTCGGTTGTATAGAATTGAAATTTGTGAAATTTTTAAAAAAAATTGGTTCAATTTTCTTAATCATTTTTCTTAAATTTCACAAATTTCAATTTCAATATTTCAATTTCATGTAGTCGAATACACTCTAAAAAGAAATGATTCGACACATACAGTCGAATGAACCCTAAATAAAAATGTTTCGAAACATGTGTACAAATTTGCCTTGCTACACAAGCATAGCTGATGATGCAATTTTTACAATCAGAGTGACTTACACATTGCCAATCAGCCATAACAGTTTGGTGTGGGTCTTTTCAATCCGATTGTGACGGGCCGGGCTGCAAAGTTGGGTCGGTTAATATTGTAATTGTTGATCAAGGGTGGTTCAGTAGTGTCTCCTTTTATCTTTAAAAATGAATTGCGAGAATTTGAGTATCTGAAAGAGTAAAGTGGATGTATGTATTGAGTGTGAGTTTTTGCATATGACAAATAATAATAATAATAATAAATAAATAAAAATATTGCAATTGCTGGGATCATTGCGTTGCTTCACTTATAGTTTTCTTGTTTTAACTCCTAAACCAAAAGCTGATAATGTTCATCACAAATAACTAAAATCAGTAGCTCAACATTGAGACATAAATGCAAGTTTTGGTGGCATATAAATGTATTTTTTTAAAAAACACCAAACTTATACATGTATAAACTAAATGCTTTGATAAATATATTGAAGATTAGATTGCATAAGATAAAAGATGAGACACAAAGGGGAAAAAAAAAACCTACCAAAGAGAAAAATAGATTGATGATTGAATTGGAAGTTTAGTACTCTGGATAGTTATGGAATTAACAAATAATCAGTAGTAAGCTTGAAATGGAGCAAATTCATGTGAATTCATATTTTAATGTAATACTTAGTCCATATTCAGATTTGAGAACGAATCGGATCCTAAGAATATATATATATATATATATATATATATATATATTTGAAAATTCAAACAATGTATATAAGTATAAAATAATTACAAAATTGGGCTACAATAGCCAACAAGCAGGCCCAAGGCACAAAAACACAACAGGCCCAGACCTAAGGATTGACCCGACCCAGAAACAACAAACCCGATGGATACAAGTAGTCAAACCACCTAACCTAGGGCAATGAACCTTAAAATAACAATGATGCATATAGCCATCGGAAACAAAATTGTTCTCCTCCGTTCATAGTAGATATGATATCATGACGTCCAGTGGTCGAGGCTGAGGTTACGAACATGATTCCTATTCAAATTATATAATTTAAACACAATTAAAGTAGAGTAAATATATACTTGATTTGAATTGCATCTCGAGGAAAAACAGAATCCATTTGTTACCCAAATTCATTTTGTATGGGCATGTGATGATTTTTTCAGTTTTTCCATGAGGATTCATATTTCACCCATTTAGAATTCGAATTGAAAATTAAAATATTAAACCTTTAAAATAGTATAGGATCGGATTGATTTTCAGTTAAACCTACTCTATTTTCTATCCCTAATCAAATAGCAGTAGAAACAAATTAAAAAAATGGTCTAGGAAGGCCAATTTTGGTGAAGTTTTCTTGGTTGTGTACAGGTACTTTAGTTCTTTCTTTTTACCCCAAATAGTGGAACATTAAGCTAATTAATTTATAAATACAGGTACTTTAGTTCTCTCTTTTTACCCCCAAATAGTGGAAAATTAACCTAATTAATTTATAAGGTAATGCATAATTTGATATTGGCAAAATCTTTTGGGGGCAATATTTGCACTTTACTTCTTTACACTTATAATACACTTCTAAAAAAAACATAACACTTTTATCCCTAATTTTATAAATAAATAATAATTTTTTTTCAAATACCACCATCACCCTTTTTCTCTCCCTCTCTCTCCCACCACAATTCGCGTGTGTGATATCTTCAAGATTTCCGATTGGTATTCTTAGTATATATAAGCAAATGAGATTACAAAGTTTAATAGAATATGTTATTTGTTAGTATATTTAAAAAATATAAGAAATGTAAAAAAAATACTAGAAGCAATATTCTATTATATATAAAAGTTACATGGTGAAAGATTTTTCCATCTTCGTCATTCAATTTAGGCATTCTAAAATTATGTTAGCTACATAGCTAAGGACTAAATATCAATTTTAGAAAAAAAAAAAAAAAAAAAAAAAAAAAAAAAAAAAAAAAAAAAACTTATAATAAGAATCTAAATGACATAGAAAAAATAAATTTCAATTAATAAAGTGCATATGAAGTGTGAAAGAAATAGATGTTTCCATTGAATTGGAATGTTGTGTAAACATTTTTTTTTTTTTTACTCTCTTATTAGTCTCTACACGCGCACACGATCTTATAGTCTTTTTTTGTTCAATAATTATTCACTATTTTGTCATTGAGTTTACAAAAAAAAATTTACCTATAATTCATCTCTTCCTCTTCTTTATTTATTTATTTATTTTCATATTAGTTTTCATAATTACTTATTTAGGTTCATTTTTCTCATATTTAGAACTGTATTTTTTTCTCAATATATAATAATAAGAATAATACAATATAAACAATTGTATTAAAATTGATTTATAAAATTTTCAATTTTAAATTATATAGTATTAGTTCAATAAGAACTCTGTAATGAGAAGAGTCTCAAGCACCGGATTAAACTTCAACTTTTTTTTTTTTTTGTTCAGCCCCTAAATTGTGATTCTTGGCTCTACTATTAATTATACAAAAATAAAATAAAGAAGAATACAGAGAGAGCACATGTGCATCCCAGTGAAATAAGGGGTTGCTTAGTTGTGTTTGGATGCCAACCCATCATCAAGATCAGCAACCACGCATTAAAAACTAGCACTGGAGATGCCGAAGGTTTTTGACCTGGATTGAACCCTATTGAAGGAACAGTGGAAGTTGAAACCCTATTTACAATCAAACTCCTAATATTAAAGAGAGATTTTGTTGTTGTAAATGGTAGAGAGTGGCAAGAGAGAGGCTTGTAATGGAGGATTACAATTGGTTTTAGGCTCCTTAAAAAAAAAAAAAACAAAACTAGTCAATTAAGTATAATTTTTCTTAAAAAATTAAAATAAAAACATTAGAGTAAGTAAAGAAGGTAAAAAAAGAAAATTTGTAGTACAAAGGGTAGTTAGGGTATAACGAAATAAGAGATAATGCCTAATAAGAGATGATGTCTTAATTAGTTTAAGAACTTTTTTGTCATTTACTTTAAAGAAAAAAGAAAAGGGTATAGAGAAGTAGAGTGCGAATAGCTTCTCCCAAATTTTTTTTCCTAGATATTATTGTAGTAAATTATGGAGTAAATTATGGAATTATAAAGATTCATTCAAAAGAAAGAATAATGTACAGGAGAGAGTCATGGGGCATTCGCCATGGAAAAATGAATTTATAAAATAAAAAATAAAATAAAAAATACCACAAGGGTGTTGTGTTTGGAATAGAATTGAGGTTTCAAAATTGAAATTCTTTCATTTGATTTTTAAGAATAAGTATATTGGAATTAAAATCTGTTTGTTTGTTTAGATGTAAAATGTTTTACAATGAATTTTTTTCTTTTACATGTAAAATCTGTTACATATAACATATTTTTCCCTCTTTGTTTGCTAGTAGGTATTTTTGGCTTATATTTTCAGTGTTTGAGCATGTAAAATAAATTTTATGTAAATAAAGGCTTATAATTATTTGACAAGGAAACACCATACATAATTCAATAGGTTGTTTTTTTTTTTTTTTCCTTATCAATTAAATTTTTTTCTTTAGAGAGAGAAATAATGGACAAGAGTTGACAAAACTAACAAAATTTTAAATTCTTTAGTTTTCTTATGATGCAGAAAAGATGAAAGATTGTTATATAAATTTTAAAGTATAATATCATCATTCCTAATTATTAATAAATAAATAAATAAAAAGAAGAACATTATCGATCCCTTCATCTCTTCCGTACGAAAACAGTACCAGAATTGTACCATAAAACACCAACATGGATACTTTTGAATTACCTCTTTTAAGTAGACCAATTTTACTAAAAATAATATATTTTTAATTTAATTATGGGAATAGTTAGAGTTACTCTTATTATTTCTTCTCTTCTTTAAACTTTCATGTTGCAATTATGATCCAATTCCCTTTTGCTCGATTCCGCTTGATTTTCCCGAGAAAATTCTTTTGATTCTCAAGAAAAGATCTTGATAAGATCTTTCTAGCATGTCAAGAAGTGATGAGGGTGTGAACCCGGAACACTTCGTAAAACCCCACTTTCCGGAGGGCCTTAGAGTACTCGCCGTTGATGACAGCATTGTCTGTCTCAAACTGATTGCTACTCTACTTCACAAATGTCGCTACCAAGGTTTCTTATATTACTTATATATATATATATAGATATACACACACCCATATGAAGAGAGAATAAAATGTTATAGATTATGATTATGATTTATCATTTTATTGCTGTTAATATTTGCAGAATCTAAAATAAAATTAATAGTATAGGAGTAAGAACTTTGCAATAAGATTGAATCACAGAATCAAGATACTCTATTTCTCCTTATGGAACTTCTAGGATAAAAATTAATCTTTCCCAAATTTAGTTTCTGAATTTTATGTTTTATATATTCTGCTTATATTGATTATTTATTTAACAATTAAGGGCAAAAATTAATGTCGAATCTTATTAATGTGATTTTTGTGAGTTTCTGATGTTATGTTCAATGAATAATACAATATATACAATTTATTGCATATTTTGAAGAAAAATGGCATGTATCTCATAGCAATGTTGTTGAATGTTATATAAATACTCTGTCATAATATAAGCATGCATTTATACATATTTATATATTTTAGAAGTGAAAAATCTTAAAGCTAAAAGATAATAGTGAAGAACAGGAAGATCCAAATTACGCTTTCAGTGAATCCCAAACATAAAAAATAAAAAAATAAAAATAAAAAATAAAAAATTTACTGGATTTCACATTAAGCTTATTTTCGAGTTCATATTATTTACTAGTTAAGATAAGTTACTGGATTTCACCTTATTTTTCACTTCCAAGAAGTTGTACCTCAGAGAAATTTCCACAATAGTTGGATTTCGGAGCTATTAATGATGCTTAAGCTTATGTTTTTCTGTTCCTTAAAAAATTCTGATTGTGATCTACATGGTACTTGAACTCGGAAACTAATGGAATTGTATGCATAATGTGGCAGTGTATAAATGTATTTAAAAACTTACTTATTGTTGGATTAGATTGTTGAAATTCAAAGGTTTCCCTTTTTCTAACACAATCAGCATTAAATTTGTTGTCTTTTATATCTGTATAAATCGGTTTTAGTTCTTCAACTGGTATGAATTTGATTTGCAGTTACAACGACGACAAAAGCAACTGAAGCTCTTAAGATGCTGAGGATGAACAAAGAAAACTATGACATTGTGATTACTGATGTTAAAATGCTTGACATGGATGGTTTCGAGCTTGTGGAGATTATAGGCCTTGAAATGGATATACCAGTTATAAGTATGAACATGAAACTTATCCTAGTGTCATTTTGATTATTTTTACTATGTTATTAGATTTACTTAAATTTATTTTGATTATTGTCCTTGTATACATGGAACTGCAGTGATGTCTGCAAATGATGATACGGAGTCTGTGATGAAGGGTGTAATGCATGGAGCGCGAGACTACCTGGTAAAACCAGTTCGAATGGAGGAACTCAAGAACATTTGGCAGCATGTGATTAGGAAAACTCTACTTGATCCCAGCAAATCCAATATCATGAAGGAGGCAGATCAAGACTCAATGCAAGTGAAAAGACAAAGGGAAAAAAGCGTGGAAAAAGAAGACGAAACTAACACTCAATCCGATGGTGAATCGTGTGCTCAGAAGAAACAGAGGATTGCTTGGACAGCAGAGTTGCATCAAAAGTTTGTAGCTGTGGTTCATCGTCTGGGAGTAGATAGTAAGTCTTGATCTTCAACTTAGAGAAGCCACAGGTGCCAGTGAACTCGATAAAATAATAAAGTTATTGTGCCCTATTCTTTTTTTTCTTTTTTTTCCTGATATAGTCTAATCCAACATTTTCTAACCTAGTATTTGTACCTTACAGAAGCAGTTCCAAAGAGGATACTTGAACTCATGAATGAGCCAAGGCTTACTCGAGAAAATGTAGCTAGTCATCTCCAGGTGAGTTAGGTCCTATTCTACATTTGATTTTGCAGGCAATGGATAACTCTAATATAGGCTTTAGACTTGTTATCACATAGTTGTAGAACAAAAATGTAATACTCAATTTGTTATTTTTTTGTTTTCTCCATTGCAGAAGTACAGAAATATGTTGAGGAGGGAAAAGAACAAAGCTAGCACAATCCAAGAAAGCAATAGTAATGTTAATTTGATCAGGAGACATGAACATGTTTCTGATACTACCACTGTGCCTTCTAACAACCAAGGTCTGCATGCCATAAATCGAGTTGTTGGAGATCATCTTGGAAGCAATGCTGAAATGATGTCGTTTCGTGATCACCATTTTCCTAAAACTGAGATGTTTGGTGCTCCTTTTGCGAACCAGAGACCTCCGTTCCTTACCCCGAACCCCCAAGAAATGTCACTCCAACAAAATCTGCTACCTCCTAATATTGATGATCAATTGCGGCCAGCCATGCCTATTCAAGCGATTCCAGCCATGCCTATTCAAGCGATTAGAAATGTCCAGCCAGCTCCAATATCAGTGGCAAATCCTCAACCCCAGCACGAATACAATGGGACGAAACTTCCTTCTGTTTGTCCTTGGAGAAAGGTGGTTGATGGCTATGCGGAGATACCTTCACACGCTCCTAGCTTTGGTGCCGGCCAACCTGGTCCAAGCACTATGCCATTGGTTGGCTATGCACCATATTCCAGTTCTCCTGGTGCCTTCAACTATGCTGGTACTTCTTTACAAATGCGCGGAGAAGCTCCTAGTCAGATGACTCCAAATTCTCAAACTAATTCTCTTGTTGGGCCAGTTCGAAGTTCCTTTCCTGGTACTTAATTCTCATATCCTGTCTACTTTATGAAAATCGAGTCAGCTGCTCATATATCAAATGATTCTTGTAGTTTCTTGCTGCTGATCTTTGATTGTTCCATTTTTTTATTATATAAATTTAGGCCAAAATGACCAGGGAAGAAATTTGGTAAATTTCAATGGAAGAGGATCTTTGGATCTTAGAGGGCGAACAGGTAGTTTTCAATTTAGCAACTGTAGTCCATCTACAGATGACTTAACAGGAAATGGCCAAATTAGGTCTGTGCTGGCTCCTCCAGAGACTTCAGAAAGAGAAAGCAATGGTCCCCATAATAGTTTCAGTCCCACGGATGATGACCTCAGTGTTATGGTAAAAGAGGTGAGGGATCTTTGAACTTTGATTCCTGTATTTTGAAACTAAAATGAACTGACTAAACAAGGGCAAAACTACTATACAAATTCATTGTTGTGCCCAATTCTAAAATGATTACTGATTTTCAATTGCAGTTGATTATTCTCGTTATATTTTGATGATCAAGTCTGTGTTTTGGTTTAATTGGTTGTCGATGAATTAGTCCTTATTCATATCAAACTACCCTACTAGCATTTCTTTTTCACATCATCTACTGTGCTATTTTTTCATCATTGTCAGTGATTATTTCATGCCGTTGCTATAACGATTTTACAGCACCCGTTCAGGCCTCACAATTACCCTGCCAAACTTAGCTGTGATTTTAAGCAGAACTTGAGTATCTTAGGGTGATTTTGTGCCACTACACCGATTTCCTTCAGAACATTCAATTCCTGTTTTAGTGTGGACATTTTAATAACAAATTTCTACTTCTCATGGTGGCTATAGTGATCCTAGCAGACTAATTCAGGTCTCTTACCCTTCTACAAACTAGCAGACCTCATGCCTTTTAAATTTCCACCTGCTCAAATGTCTTAAAACCGGGCATTACCTAGTGGCCTAGTTGGTAGATTGTCCTTGTAGTTGGCTGATCTTTAAATTTATATGTTTAAAGAAGGAATTATACATAATTTTTTTTTTTTTTTTTATTATTATTTTTTTTTTCTGGCTTAATGTCCTTGTAGTTGTTTTTTATGTCCTTATTATGCTCCCAGTTGATTTAGAGGCTTCTGCATTGCAGTTTGGCAACCACTCAGCTCCTGAACTATAATCAAGCAGTTGCCCATTACAAACTTTGGATTAATATTCATATTGCACAAGACAAATTCATTAGTAACTCGATCGCAAGAATGCAAATGATCTCTTCGTAAGTCGTCAGATCTGCTCACACATCGTGAGCCCTTATGATTGGTTGATTTATTTATTTATGTTGAAAGCCGATTGATAGTTCTGAAGAAAGATTGGTGATGTACCAATTTTTATTCTACTTTTCCTTCTCCAGACTTTTTTTGATGTTCATTGTTCATAAATCCTCTATATATTCTGTGTCACAACCTAGTAGAATATGGAAGTAAAGAACCATCCCTTTACAATCCATTTTGTGCTTTTTATTTGGCTTTTCAATGGGAAATTTTTTGTGCCATACAAGATTATGTTGCTTGGATGGTGTGATGGAAATGAAATAAAGGCCAAATGGACCAGTCATATATAGTGTCAGTTGTCACTGTTCAATATTCCTGGGAGATATTTATTCAATCACCTAATCAAGTTGTCTTGTTGATAGGTATCCCTTATCCTGTTGGACTATATAAATAGTACTAAATCTACATAACAATCTCTAAAAACAGTATCAAAGTAGACAAGGTACTCAATTAATACACATCTGAATAACATGCCCAACAAATGACCACGGGTGGCTATTGTATATAATTGCTACAAGTAGTTGTAAAAAGTTGCTATATTTTGGTTTTCAATGATCTTTCATTGTAGAATAGTAAAGACTTTACATGGTAGGTATTAAGTGGGCAATCAACCCTATCAATAAACCACAAATCTGTGTGCGTTTTAAACCCTTAGTATGTGTGCGTTCGGAGAGATCTATGTGCCGTTTCGTTTGGAAAAGATATTAGGTGAGCCAGAAATACTAATGAAAATGAATTTTCATTATTTGTTTTGTTGATTGAGTATACAAGTACAATTGACTCACCGAATATCTACTCCTGTATTTGACAATGCAATTTGAATAGAATGAGTTTCAGTACTTAAAAGAGTACTAAGATAAAGACTGCATATGTTTTAGGAGCCTAAATAACACATAATACACTATGCTAGGGTTTGATTAAGGGACTCTTTCCACATTCTGAGTACATTTGAGTATAAGAAAAAAAATATTGTGTAGTCCTTGATATAGGCCACTTTATGGTTTAGTACAATCAAAATCCATATTCAAGTTTTTATGTAATATCTCATAAAATACTTATCAATTTATTTTATAGCTTAAATTGGAGAGTTTTGATTATATTGAACCTTATTGTCGAGAACTATCTAATAGTAATTTCTCAAATATCAAGACCCTTAGATATATTTTTCTCAGCGTTTTATAAGTTATGAAACGACACTAATATTATATTTGAGAGCATCGAATCGGTGCCTTAAATTTAAAATTGGAGGAAGTTTAGTTCAAAATTTATATTAAAATTTTTTCAATCCAAATTCATAGAGTGAATTCAATGCTGCCAAACATATCCTTCATTGTCATATTTATTGATATTCGTGTAACTTTATCTTGCATGAAATTACAACTTTTCCTGAGCAAGAAGAATCTTAGTCATCCAATCGCACCTGGCAATGCTAAACTGTCTCACCATCTTTCAACAACATGGTAATTAATCACAAAAAATTACTCCATCTCATACGAAAGTTGTCTAATTCAAACTCGAGGGACAGCTTTAATTAAGATTCTTAGTTCACATGGAAAACTCATAATGATAGGTTTAGAACACAACGTAGCATCATAGACTAGCATCAAAGTACTGTCATTATATTGATTTAGACAGGCTTAAACACAGCTTGTGATAGGATGATTTGAAGCATTATTGGCTTAAACACAGCTTGTGATAGGATGATTTGAAGCATTATTGGCTTAAACCCAAACACATTGACATGACTTTTTGGGACCACCAGCCCTTAATTGCGTGTAGAATTGCCTAATTGATATGTCATTAAGCTAAATTGAGTTCCCTTAGTTTTGGTTCAAAGCATCAAATCAATAGAAGAAAATTATGGTTAAGGTGGGGATGATGTTGAAGTGAGACATTATCGGAACTGAGGTCTCACACTGATTTGCCTGAAATGGATAGTGATGGTGAATTCCCATCTTCATACATGCATTGAATGTTTCGTCTTGGAATAGTTTGATTGTTTGCATTCTAGAAGTATTTTCTTTCATTTCCATTTTTATTATCTTGTAAACAAAGTTGAGCAAAGTAAATACTTGCAAATCTTGATGAAAGAATAAAAAGGGTATCCAATGTATGTCTTGTCAATGCAAAGTTTTGTAATATTATAGGATTAGCTTAGTGCAACGAGACTCTCTTTGTTATGAGATTTAAGAAGATCAGACACGGTCTTATTTCTATATGAAGAGATTGTTTCTGTTTTCAACCTCGTGACTTTTAGGTCATATTTCTTATTAATTACTTAAAAAGCTTTGGGAAAAAAAAAAATTCCTACCACTATATGCTTTATGTGTAATAAAGGGATCTAATATTGAATAAATTAAGCTAGTAATTGCATGTAAAACTAGTACAACTTAAAAATAATTACTCACATAAAGTTGCTTTAAGAATATTGAAATTTGTTGCCAAGACAATAGCTAGCATGAATGGTTGCAAAGGTACAAATATTGATCTATGATGCAACTACTCGTGCATACAAAATGATCAATGGAAAAGATTGAATTGGAAAAAAAAATAGCTTATGTTTGAGCTAATATTAGGTAGCTAAGAAATTAATTTGAGTACATAACCTCTAAATTAGGTAGTATTCACTTCCTCGAGTAAGCTAGTTTGCAGACATTGTATCTGGAATTGATGAGACATTTAAATTAAGTCCTATAAGACCTAAAACTAATTGTAGGTTACATATTTTAAATTGTAGGCTATATGAGGCTCAAAATCCCAATCTCACTATAGATTTTCTGTAAAAATTATAAAAGTTGAGAGCAACCATTGTCAGTCTTAATTAGCATACCTTAATCTAGTAGTAAGTTGGGACTGTGACGGAACAAAAATTAAGTTCAAATTCATTGTCAATTATAAACAAGTTTTGTTTTCATAATCATATTGTAGAAGATGAAGAATTCATACTCTAGCTCATTTCAACCCAAAACTAGAAACGTGCCAACCACAACATCTTAATGCATTAAATGTCACCAACTTTTTCTTTTTCTTTTTCTTTTTCTTTTCCTTTTTTTTTTTTTTTTTGGATGAATCACATTTGTTACGATACTAGCACATATATATGACTTGGGCTTTTCACTCATCCTAACCAAATTTGTATTGAATGTGGCGCATAGATCAATAAATATCTGCCATATTATATTAATATATATATATATATATATATATATATATATATGTTCAATACATGATGTGCTATGCTTCCAATAGATCGATGAAATCAGGTCCCTTAGAAATTTAAAATGTGGTGTACTTCCAAATTATAAAGGGTGTGACGCTTTGATCTGATAGATCATATTTGCAACTCATTGTTTGTACGAAAAAGCTACAGTGAAGTACAAATTATTAAAATTTGGTATCAAAATTTTTTTGGCAAATTTTATGATTTCTTTCTTTAAACAATTTATTTTGAGGTTGAATTTGATTATTTCTTTCTTTTTTAAAATGGAACTGAATTTCATTTGAGTGTATTTAAGGGAGAGTTGTGTTTGGCTTTCAGTTTGGTAGTGTCTCCGAATTATTGCTCTTTTGAAATATGTATATATATATATATATATATATATATATATATATATATATATATATTTGTACTTTGCCAATAACCATCTAGAATGATTAAACTGAGGAAAATTTGTCACGTTGAAATGAGGGGCGATGTGGATAAGTGGTTCTACAAAGCAAAATTCCATCGGAAGGACCATAGATAATCCATGTTCATGATGAGTGGATGTTGGGGACCATAGATCTATTAGTAATTAATTATAAGTTGAACCATAGTACAAATATAACAGAGGATGTAACACTACATAGATATGTACATATATATATATATATATTGTCTTCACATCCAATGGGCGCGAAGACATGCATATATGTTATGTTATTATAAAGTTGAAAATAAAAAGTTGATAACATTCTGATTTTATTATTATGAAAAGACTCATAAAGATCCATCTGAAGGACCATAGATGATCAATGTTCATGATGAATGGATGTTGGGGACCATAGATCTATTAGTAATTAATTATAAGTTGAACCATAGTACAAATATACCAGAGAATGTAACACTACATAGATATGTACATAGATATGTATATATATATATTGTCTTCACATCCAATGGGCGCGAAGACATGCATATATGTTATGTTATTATAAAGTTGAAAATAAAAAGTTAATAACATTCTGATTTTATTATTATGAAAAGACTCATACAGTCATACAAGAAATTAGTTCATTCATGTGGACCATAGTTTGAAAGACAAAAAAAATTGGGTGACAACCGGTTCTGAAATTATATAACAGTTTATTATGTAAAAAGAGAAGGACTTACTTGATTTGTAACTATGAAAATAATTTTCTATTATCAGAAAACAGTAAAAAAATCTCTATTTAGTTCAGTTTTCAGAAAACTGTTTTTTGAAAACTCAGTTATAAAAATGTCTATTTTTAGATAATTATAAAAGATTATTTTCAGTTTTCTATTATCTGAATTCTTGAGAACTGTTTTCAGAATTACAAACCAAGTAAACTCAAAGTTTCCTAACAATTTTCAGAAATCATGAGGGTCATAGTCCCTGACTCCCTGCTACAGATCACACAGCCGAAGTTGTACACTGAAAACCAATGCGAATTCACTTAATTCCTAACCAGAAACAATTTTCAAAAAATTGAACATCATTAAAAAAAAGCTGATGAATAATGAGAACTAAACTGAAGTGCGAATTATAATCAATATATGGTCTCTTAGTACTGCAATCCAAATGCAGTTTTACTGATCTAGTCTTAACTACAATGGATGGTATGCACCATACTAATCAACTTTAACTACTACAATGGATGGTATGCACCATACTCATCAACTTTAACTACAGTGAATTGGTGAAAAAAAAAAAAAACTACAGTGAATTAAAATCAACTGGACTGAAATAGGAACATTAAATCCTGACAACATGCATTAACCCCAAAATTGATATATATAATTAATGTTGGTCTGCACCATGAATTATGATATAATTATGTATAGAACAATGTGCCCACATAAAATTCAACAGACCATATAATATAATCAACCACGACAATCGGCACCAAATGATCGATCACCACTACGTTTCTCCTTTCCCAAGCACCAATCTGAGGGCTTGCGATCATTATTATTATACTCTCTCCACTTCTTTTACTAGACTTGAGAAAGTTAACTAAGCATAGAAATACAAAATTACATAGATCTCAAACTATATGTATATATATTATGATTCAATTCAATAAATCAAAGCCTCAAAGACAAGTCAAGCTGACTAAACTCCTCTTGAACACTATCAGGCTTGTATCCACCGTCTCTAGAATTACCATAATTCATCTCTCTCCTACCATACCTCAACTCACCACCAGTAGTACTAAACCTTCCACCATATCCTTGGTGCTCTAACCCGCTGACCGGAGACTGCACACGTCGAACGTGGCTTGAGCCACTACCGGAGCTAGAACCGGGATGATGTTTGTATCCTGCATGTGCTTCTCTGCTTTTCTTGGCTAGGGTTCGCTCGAGCTTGTGAGCGTTTTGGTGACCTCCGAGGGCTTGCGAGCTGTAGAACCTCCTGTTGCAGTAGTTGCAGGAGAAGACGCGAGGTTCGGCTGGGCTTAAGGGTGATGAAGAAGAAGAAGATGATGTTGGGTCGAGAACAAGTTCTAGGTTGAGCTCATTGTTTGTTGGGAGGCTGAGATTAAGAGATGTGTTGGGTCCAAAATTCATGACTATGGGGGTAGGTAACAAAATCAAGAAAGATGAACAAACTAGTCAAGAGGGTTATGATGATGTTAATGTTTGATCAATCAAGAAATTGTGGAGGAAGAGATAGGATTGAGTCAAGTGAAATGAGTTAGTTGGGGTGGTGGAGGTTAAATAGGAGAGAGAGGGAGAGATTGTGGTAACAAATCAAGGAAGTGCTTGAAAGGAAGAGAGAAGAGATGAGAGGATATATAAAGTAGTAGGAAAAGAGAGGCTTGGTTTGCATTATCTGAGGTGCATAGGTTTACTATTGCTGCAACCACAAATAGTAATGAAGTTAGTAAGAAAAAGAGATGGGGCTTTTGTTTGTGTGTGTGTGTGTGAGAGAGAGAGAGAGAGAGAGAGACAGATACCTGCAAGGATCAGTGAGGTATCAAAGGCTTGTCGCCTCCATCAATGGCAGCATTCGAGCCTCTTGTCGGTCCATGAAAAAAAAAAAATCCATCGCATTAGTTTCCATCTGATGTCAAAAAACAAAAAAAAACAAAAATGTTTATGCTACTTACGCCGAATTCTACTCAAGAGACAGGTGGTGTGGGCCCACCACTACAATTGTGGATCCCACGCAACTCTACGTTTTTGGTTAGAAATAAATAAGACTAAAATTATAGAGTTAATTAAGTACATCCGTTGTTTTTGGGAGCCCAGCCTTTAAATCCTTAATCACTAATTTGATTTTAATATTTTTATCCAAAAAAATAATAATAATAATAATAATTCTGTTTCATTTGAAATTAAATGTGTAGAATTTTTTTAGCTTTTCATAATTACACTGAATTAAAATTTAAAATTGTTTTCTCAAAACAATTAGAGGACATGTATTTAATGTTTATTCCCTTAAATAATTTGAGGAGACATTTATTATAGGACAAAATTAGTATTTTTTATTTTCTTTTTTTTTTTAAGTCTCATTAGACTATTTAATTTGTCCTCTACCCTCATAGGTCTAATCACCACTTTGTTTTGGCGTTACATACTACTTTATCACCGGTCGGAAATAGGGGGTTGAGAGATCTTGCACTGATTTCCCAATACAAGTACAAGATGTGGGTGATGAAGTAGATAAACAAGCCTTCTTGACTAGACTTAAACCGCACTATAATAATACCCACCTTTTTTTTTTTTTTTTTTTTATGTTTTTTACATGCTTCCTCGATATCCCAGAGTGCACCTAACCAATAACAACATTATTTTATATAAAACTACTTGTATCACAATCATTAATTTTCTTTGGTACATCGTACGTACTACTACTACGATGTTCGTAGAACACTTGATGTTCAAAATTTTGGATTTGACTAGAGACATCATATCTACCTATTTGATTTTTCTAACCCTGATTAATTGAATACTAATCGGATGGCCCATGATCATGCTTATAATGTCCAAGTTCAGAGTTCACATAATTCAACTTGTATTTTTGGAGGTTGTTACCAGGAAGCATCTTAAGACATAATCAAACATGTTTGTAAATGAAGCATAATTAATTTAGTCTGACTCTATGGAAGATCATAACTTCTCATGTACATGCATATATTTCATTATCAAAGTCACTACAATAATGAGAAAAAAATATTAAGAAAAAAATTATTATATGATCTCTACCAATACAACTCTAGATGTGTCGAATTATAATTAGTTGAGAATATGCGATCAATGTAATAATTTTTCATATTGAGCAAGATAAATTAAGGCACAATTTTACAAAAGAACTGTCCTAAAAGTGTAAGCTAGGTTGTACAACACCCTTGGGACCTGTATAGCAACATATATGTACTAGAGAATGTGTTGGAAAATGGAGAGACCATATGGACATATCATCATGGTAACATGAAGTATGTGGTGGGACCTAATAAGTTATGTCCATGTATGCCATCAAGACATGTCCTTACATTATATCACAACAAATGTTCTCAATCTCTCTCTCTCTCTCCCAAATTTTTTTACGTTACCAAACCCATTCCACTAGCTATGCAGAGAACTGAGGCAAGCACATGGGGATGTGTTTCAAAACTTGAGAAAAGCAGACAAAATTAAATACACTATAGTTAATAATTAAGCCTCCTAATGGTTACTATAATAATTTATACAAGAGAGAATGGGCTTCCTTGATCATTAACATGGACAATAATATATATATATATATATGTGTGTATATTTTTTATGATAATTGAGAGATCAAAATCTTACAGGTCGGCTATAATTAGGGTGATTGAGTTTTGTCTCTCATAAACAAGCACAACACAATCCAGGAAGCTACGTACTGTTGAAGTATAATCACTCATAAGATTCCATGGAACATTAATTCCTTTTTGTAAACACCAAATCATAATTTATGTCTCTCTTTACTATTTAAACAAATCCACAGCACATGAACTCAAACCCTATTTATTTTTTTTATTATTTTTTTTTAGTTTTTAAGAAAATAAAAGCTAACCATTTGATATATTGCATTTTGGTTGAGTCGGAGTTCTAAAGTTGGATAACTCCGACTATTTTTATGTAAAGAGAAATTGACGTCCTCGTAATATTAACCTCACCATGACATTAGCGTTCTCACTTAAAAACAGTCCGATTAATTCGACTCTCAGACTACAAAGTTTGATACAAATTAAACAAATAAATTAAAGAAGAGAGAGACAGAGAGTACCAGGGTTTAGGTAAGAGCAGTGAAGATGGGGATGAGCCACTGGTTTTGCCATATAGATATGAAAATTAATTTCCTAAGAAGCAGAAAGTGAGGTTGGGAATGGTATTGTGGACATGTTTGTGTTTTGTCGGATTTTATAAACATTTATGGGGTCATGGAGGGAGCTTAGAATGATGACTTTTGGATCTCTTTTGTGCCTACACGTGGATAATGACTTTTACTGTGTTTAACTCATCAACATATACACATATGGTTCATGATCACCAATTCTGTGTGTGTGTGTGTGTGGAGTGTGGCTGCAGTAAGACTTATTAGGTATTCAATGGATATAATACCTCATCTCATGAAGTGGTGGCTCTTAATTTTGTGCCAATCCACACTCCTGATGTTGAAACTCAGCTTTTTATTTTCTTTCATGTTCCTTTGTGTTGTTTTGCTGCCATGAGTTGATGGAATCGGGGTCCCCCATTAGAAGCACAAACATGTGCACTTTTTTCTGTTTCAATTTTGCTTTCATGAGCAAAATAAAATTTTGTTCGTCCTGTCTTTGTCCACTTGGTCCCAAGTCCAAAAGGGATTAATGATTTAGGTGATTCGCACTTCTTCTGTGTTTAAACTGAAGATACAAGAAATCCCTCCTCCTTTTCTCTCTCTAGAATTCTTGCATTTCAACCCAAAAAATATCTCCTCCCTTTTTCCATTACTTCTCCTATTTATAGATATTTACAAATGTTGATGGACTACTGGATCTAGGCCCGTTCCTCCATGAGTTCTGGTCATCTTTGATGGGCTTATTCGCGTTCGGCCCATATGGCAGTGTCTCTCTATGGGCCTGACCCATCTGTACGGACCGAATGTCGCGTTTGCAAGTCATATCTGGCCCATGTCATCTCGGGCCTCCTCAACTGCCCCCATAATTACCCCTTGTTTAATAAAGGGGTAATTATTGAAGGCGTCTCATCATGACGTTGACGGCTCGAGAAAACCACATGGGGGAACGGACAGTCAGATCCAGAATCAATGTTCCGGGGCTCGATGAATTTCTCGCCTTCCTGACGCTTCGGCCCTCGGGTCCCCCTCGCCTTTATAAGGCTCTAGAATACCACTTCATGCCTTTTTACCGTCTCCATCATCAGTCAAATCTCTCTCTCTTTAGAACAGTGCTAAGCTTCTTCCGGTGAAATCCTTCAAGAGTCATTCTTCCAGCGGTCTCGCAGTGCTCTTTGTTGCTTTCTACCTCAGAGGTTAGTTTTATTCCTTTTTACTTTCGGCAGGCTTCTTTTTACCCTTTTAGATCCTTCAATCACTTCCACCATGGTTGTAGATCTAGATGTTCTTCGTATGAGACTTAGACTTCCTGACAACATCCAAGTTAGGGTTTGCCCTAAGGATGTTAATATTATGACCGGTGCCGGCCTCCTTCCCGGCGAAGTTTTATTTTCAAACCTTCAACTGAATGTCGTTATGTTCCCTCTGCATCCCTTTTTTAATTATGTCTTCAATAGACTGGGGATATCCCCCCTGCAGGTAAACCCCAATTTCTTTAGAATCATATCCGTTATGCTACTGTTGATTCGTGACAGAAGCCTGGACCTTGACCTCATAGATCTTCTTCTGTGTTATAAGGTCAGTAAGATCCGAACTAACGAGCCCTTCTACCACCTCTACCCGATCGACAAGATGTCCATATGTACGGACACAATCAAATCTGAAAAGGGTTGGAGGGATAACATTGTGGGCATTAGTGGGGCCTGGTCTTCACCGGCTGCAGAGGATTACCCAATCCCGAGCGCCTTTGGCGTCTGTTCTGTTTCCTCATATAAGAAATTCAAATCTCATAAAAACGATTGTCCCTGCGAAACATGCGTTCCTCGCTTTTGTACTTTCTTATGTCGCTCCTTAGGCATACCTTGTGATGACTTGAGCTACAGTGTTTGCAGGGATAGGAGTAATTACTTGAAGAAATACGTTCTGAACGATATTCCTTCTTGCTCAGACCTCCTCACTTCAGACAACCTTCTAGCGCTCTCATCCCTCGGCTATACCATGAGCAGGCTTCAGATTCCATCCTTTGGTAGGAGGAAAAATACTCCCCTACCCACTTCTGCTGCTGGAGCAACCTCCTCTCCTGCATCAGCCTCTTCCTCAGCCACCATCTCTGACACCATCCCGAGCACGGTGGCTATTGATTCTGTTGTCAGCACCCCTGCTACCAACCCGAGCGCGTCTCCACAAATCACTACTGCCCCTGCTGCCGCTGGGGGCGCTCGGGACAAAGAACGAGGCAAAAGGCCTCATTCTGACGGCGGAGTCGACCCCAAGGAGGAACCTCTTATAAGAAGGACTCGGGTCTCTGGGCCGAGTGCTCTCTTGCATCGCCCAGTCAGAACTCCTGCCCCCTCCGGGCCTGTCGCAGCTGGTGCCTCTGCTTCTGCTTCAGCTTCTCCTTCTCTTCCCACTTTACCACCGTGGGCTCCTCGGTACACCCGAACGGATGGGACGTTCGTGAAGCCGAACGAGACCATGCTAAAGGATGGCCAGACCGCCATGGCGTATTACAGGAGCATGTGGACTCCGAAAGACCTTGAGGCGGCGAAAGGTCTATCCCAAAAGGATGTGTTCAGCCGCTTCCCCCAATCTACCATGGAGGTGACTTTTATTTCCCAACTCATGAATCCTCTCATACTATTTGGTTTTACCTTCGTCCGACCAGACTATCAGTTTAACCATTATTAATGTATATCTATGCAGACTTTGTTCGGTATGATGGCTATGCAGAAACAGGTCGAAATAGGGAACGCCAGGGCCCGTAAGTTCTCTGATAACCTGGAGGTGGCCAATAAGGAAAACGACCTTCTCGCCAGCAAGAATACCGAGGTATTGGCTCGGCTTGAAAAAACCGAACAAGAAAGAGATGTCTTGAATAAAGAAAACGACTCTCTTCAGGATGAGAAGGATGCCCTCCAGCTTGAAAAGAGTGTCTGGCAGACTGAGCGTGATTCAATCAGAGATGAAAAGGCAGAGCTCCAGCGCCTTCTGGCTGATGAACAGTCTGCTCGGATGGCTTTTGAGAAGAGAGCTCTGGACGAGCGTACTGCTCTGATTGATACCATCAGCAGAGTGAACGGTGGGATGCTGGCTCTTCATGCTCGGTTCTCAAGGGTCGGCGCTCTTAGATATGCTCAAGGATTCCGAGAAGGTTTCTCTGACCGAGTTCCGGATGAGGGACAGACCAACTCAACTCCAGATGAGGTCGATAAGGATTTAGGGATTGACCCTCTGGGGATCTATGTTGACCCAGAACCTACCGAAGCGGAGCACATATTTGATGAGTGCCAGGACATTGCTTCCTCTAAGATCACTACAGCTCCTCCTACCGCTCTGCCTCTAACCGCTCCTCAATCGTCAACTGTGGTACCTCCCATAGCCACTGCTGACGTTGGCCCCCAGCAGAATGACTCTGTTATTCATCTTGATTCCCTTCCTCGTGAGGGTGAGATGGCTGATGGGACCGAGGAGGCGGGTCGGCACAACCAGGAGGCTGTCGGTACTGAGGCAGCTAGCTAGGACTCCTCCGGACTCTTCGATTCCATACTTTTTTGTAACAATGTGACTTGAATATTTCATTTTTTGTAAATCCAATGCTTATTATGAATGAGATGACAGAACTCTTTTTCTCTTTTTCCTTTGTGTTGCGCTCCGTTCAAACCCATTTTCAATATATATATACCTTTTCTCTCTTTTTTTTTTGTATTAACTTAAACGTGTGCTTGTTTATGGCAAGTGCTTGGCGTTCGGCTTGCTGTGCCAGCTGCCACTTATCTTGCTCAAGTGCCTGGCGCTCGGCTAGAATGCCACTTGCCACTTGGCTTTTCATTTTTTAGCAAGTGTCTGGCGTTCGACTTATGGTGCCAGCTGCCACTTATCTTGCTTAAGTGCCTGGCGCTCGGCTAGAATGCCACTTGCCACTTGGCTTTTCATTTTTTAGCAAGTGTCTGGCGTTCGGCTTATGGTGCCAGCTGCCACTTATCTTGCTTAAGTGCCTGGCGCTCGGCTAGAATGCCACTTGCCACTTGGCTTTTCATTTTTTAGCAAGTGTCTGGCGTTCGGCTTATGGTGCCAGCTGCCACTTATCTTGCTTAAGTGCCTGGCGCTCGGCTAGAATGCCACTTGCCACTTGGCTTTTCATTTTTTAGCAAGTGTCTGGCGTTCGACTTATGGTGCCAGCTGCCACTTATTTTGCTTAAGTGCCTGGCGCTCGGCTAGAATGCCACTTGCCACTTGGCTTTTCATTTTTTAGCAAGTGTCTGGCGTTCGGCTTATGGTGCCAGCTGCCACTTATCTTGCTTAAGTGCCTGGCACTCGGCTAGAATGCCACATGCCACTTGGCTTTTCATTTTTTAGCAAGTGTCTGGCGTTCAGCTTATGGTGCCAGCTGCCACTTATCTTGCTTAAGTGCCTGGCGCTTGGCTAGAATGCCACTTGCCACTTGGCTTTTCATTTTTTTTTATATTTTTAGCAACCCATTGAAGAGGAAAGTTATTTTTATAAATTTCAGGAATTTGCACATTCATACGTACTTGATTGACAACAAACAACACCCAATAAAGCCGAAACTTAGCTTTTATTGGTAGTACCTCTTCAGAGACGTGGCATCCAGGGCTTGCTGACCAACCTTTCCGCCATGGTTTCTAACGTATATGCTCCCTTGCCTATGACTTCTGCAATTCTGTATGGGCCTTCCCAGGGTGGCATCATTTTTTTGACTATCCCCACCTTTCTTTTCAGAACCAGATCGCTAGGGGCAAAATCTCTGTGTTTCACTCTTTTGTTGTGACTATTCGCCAATACTTGCTGGTATGATGCTAACCTTATTGCTGCAGCGTCCCTCCTTTCGTCTATCATATCGAGGTTCAATCTTAACATCTTGTCGTTCTGATCTCGACTCCATGCTAAGCTTCTGATAGTTGTGACCAAGTGCTCAACCGGTAT